TCTTCAAACTGAAATGTGTCATGGGTGATTTCTGCAAGGCGGGCCCTATCAAGAGGGGGTTTGAGGGAACCATATCTTTCCCATGCATGCAAATGAGTGGCTTGTTGCATCTCCAGGAGGGGTTGCTGGGAAGATGCTTGGGTCCCTGTTGCCAGCAAGAAGGAGAGGCCAAAAACCAAGATGGAGCTTTGGAAAACATATGTATCTTTTCCTCTTCTTTTTATTTTATGGTTTTGTCTCTTTTACAAACAGTAAGACAGTTGCTTGACTCCCCGTAGCTTGAAACAATGGTTAGGAATAAATCAGGGTGGGATCCCTGGATAATTGAGTGGTTTCTTTAAGAGCTTTTGTTGAGGAATTAGTATATAGTACTTGCTTTTTTGCTTATTAAGTTCATTGTGTACTTCTTCAGAAGTAGTTTTATGCTTGTGATGGGATAGTTGTTTGTTTTCTTGAGTTATAAATGAAATACAATTTTTGTAATATATGAGTAATTTATTTGTTTCTGCATAAAAAGTTGGCCTGAAATCCTTTTCCAGACATAATTAAATATTCTTGGAGTTTCCGCAGGAAGTCCGGACTGGGAAAAAGTTGACATTTGTTTAACTCTATTTGGGAACAAGAGTCTGTGTGTATATCATTTTCAGCCAATTTTGTTCAGAGGGTCTTTCTGGGGGAAAATGTTATCAGTATGAATAAAGGTTGTCAGTATGATTAAGGTGGACTTCATCGGTTTACTTTATAAGCAATCTTATAAAGTAATTTAGTGGCATTTTCAGTTAGAATGGGGATGAAAAAGTATCTTTACAACTCCTCACATTTATGACCTTCACAAATCCATAAAGCAAACAAAAGCTGAAGTAAGATTAAAAACACAGTTGCGGTTTCACTTAGTGACTGTTTGCTTAATGACTAAGTTGCCAGTCCAAATTTTGGTCACTAAACAACAACTGGCTATACTACCTCTGAGGATAATATAGTGTATTGAATGGGAAACGTTTGTCCAGTCTCAAATATTTAGCGAAGCAACAGAGGCTTTAATAAACCTGGAACTTTGAGAAGCCAATATTAAGCCCTACTTCATTTATATGCAAATCATCAACCTATTGCAGTAGTTAGTGCTGAGAAAATACCAAAGCCAGTGTTGTCTGAAAGAAGAGCTGGAAAGAAAGTTGATTTTAAAGAAGAGATCTCTTTTCTTCATCCATTATACTAAGGTGACCAACTTTTTTACAATGAAAAGGAGGACACAAATAAATTGAAGAAAAAATATCGTAAATAAAAGAAACATTTTATTCATTGCAACAATAATACAGAATACACTATAATATGATAAATGCATAATAAAAACATTTGTAACAATAACATTTTATATTGTAATTATGCTTACATGCCTATTAATTATTATTTAAATGAGTACTTTTCCATTGAATGAATATTTTTTGTCAATGTATCATCTTCTAACAATATATTGGAAATATCTGAACATATTGAATTCATATTGAATTTTACGGCAAGTGCTGCAGCTAGAGTATCAACATTCAATCTCGATTTCTCACTTTTCCAAAAATCATTAGCAATTGAAAAAACCCTTTCAACTGCTGCATTAGTTCCAGGACAGCAGAACATAAATTGAACAAGAATATATAAATTTTCACATGGAATATTTTCATTTTTGAAAAGGCTGAATATTTCCACCCATCTTTTATCAATTTCAATGTGTTTATTTTCCCATTGTATTAATTTAAAAATACATTCAGTCTTCTAATTTCTTCAAAGAGACAATTGTCTGTTTTAATGTCTGGCATTTCTTTAGATAAAAACTCAACACAAGATTCAATATCTGTCCAATATACTTGCGATGAAATAAAAAAACACCATTGAAAACTGTTATTTCCTGTGATGTTTGTTTCAGACCATTCTTCGATATATTGAAAACATGTTTGGTAAAAATTCTGCACTTCTTTGATAAACTTTTCCGTTATGCCCAGATTTGATTCCTCTAAGTCTGACAATTTTCTTTTTATAACTAAAGGAAGAAATTTTTCTTCAAATTGAGTTTTATATTGAAGGATAAAATCATTCAAAATAAGACTAACTTCTGTAGCTGAAATGTGTTCACCTTCAATCTTTTGAATCGTTTTGTGAAAAATAGATGCTTGATTATGTACAAAATACATTAATATCTCAGATATTTCATTATTGAAAAACGATTCCAGGATTTTAGGACATTTGTCTAAACTTAAAAAATATGAACGGAGAGGCTCAAATAATTGTAGAACACGCTCTATAGCAGGTGTTAAAGCAAGCCATCTAACTTTTGAATATCCTAAAAGTTTTTTGTATTGAACATTCGCTTCTTCACAAAATTGTTTTAAAGTAGCCACACGAACGGTAAAATGACTAAAATACAAATAAATTGTAGTTATTATTACTTCTACATCAATTGGCATGGCACATGATGCCATGTTGATTGCATTTGACAAAATATGTGCAGTACAACCTATTCCTAGTATTTTCTTTTGGAGTAAATCTTGTAATTTTACATACACATTATTCACCCCTTTGCGTCTTCGCCCACCAAAATGTGTGTTTGTATTATCAGCTGTTAGTGCAATAACTTTGGATTTCAAATTGTTTTAATTTATTACTCTGTATTGATGGTTTGACAAAATTTCAGCAATTTCGCCCTCAATGGATTCTAAATTTAAAATTTTTACTTGAATGCCCTTGGTAACATTAAAATATCTTATTAGTATTGGATACAATTTAGTTTCATTATGATTGGATGCATCAGATAAAACCGTTACAAATGCTGCAGTTTCCAAGTCTTCTGTAAATATTTTGTCACAGTAATTTTAAAATACTGATTTAATAATAGCCTCACATTTTGTCCTGGCGCATGAAAATTTAGCATCGTGAAACTTTTTCAATAATTTAGTTGTACAATCAATACTACGAAAACTTTGATTGTGAATTATGGTATGGTATGGAATGCAAATGTTCCCTCCATTGCAGCTAACTGTTTTTCATCTTCAGAATACTTTGAAGTTTTAAAAAAACTGGAAGCAAATGCATCTGATGACTGCTTATGTTTCTTGGTGTTCAAGTGTTTCGTAATAGCTACTCTGCCCCCAGCTGCAATATAAAATTCTCCACTGCAAATATTGCAGAAAACAATGTTATCCTTCTTTGATGTGATGAATGGAAATTCCTTATTCAATTTATTGTTGAAAGGACATTTCTTCTTTTTTGATTTTTCCATCCCTAAATGGAAGTTAGTCTCCTCCAGGTATCTTTGGGCCTAACTAGGGGATGGTGTAGTTGAGTAGCAGGGAGAAGTGCAAAGTTCCTGCCAATTCGCCTTCGCTGCAGACAACTTGCATGTGCAAAGTTTGCCGGCCAGGTGTTTTGGTGCACTCAGTAGCAATTCCTATTGGCTTTCGAAAGCCAATAGGGAGAGTAGCACAGCTCATGCAAAAGTTGAAAAAAAAACCATCAAAAAAAGGTGCCAGAATGCCGTTCTGAGCATTCTATGAGAAAAAAAAAAAGCCCTGCAGATTAGTCTCCAAATATTGAAAGGAGGACATGAAGGAGGACACTTTTCGAGGGAGGACAGAACTTACAAAAGGAGGACTGTCCTCCCTAAAGGAGGACGGTTGGTCACCTTAATTATACTTAAATATTCCACTGTTCGAATAGATGGCAGATTATTTTTTTTTTGTCTCTGAACCCTAAAAGAAAGGTGGAGAAAGTATCAATAAGGGATGCTGGAAAAAGAAGAGAATCAGTTGTTTTCTGCTTTGGAATCATATCTTAAATAGGGGTGGAGTTATTGCTGTTTGGAACATGCTAGACTGTTGGTTATATACATAGAGTGGATTCTTGAAGATGCTTTGATTTCTGTAAGACTAAAATTGTGAAGCAAAGTGTAATAATAGGTAAGGGCAGGATAGGCAGCAAAAGAAATGCAGAGCTATATTTTCTTCATGACTCACGTGTTCATCTTATCCTGACAAAAATTGAAATAGCTGTAGGTGGTATGATGTTTCCTTAATTATAGTCAATTGACTATTTTTTGAATGGACTCTTGAAGCAGGTTGATCACAGTTTGGAACAGAGCCATACCCTTTCAAATCACACATTTTTAATGCAAATCTAATTACAACAAATTTAAAATGAATTTGAACTGGATGCATTAATTAACTGCATATTGATCTTCAAGTTCTCATATCACCGTACTTACTCTGAGACATCTCTCCTTGATGCCCATAGGAAAGAGCACTGTAAAATCAGCCTTATGCAAATGCTGGCCTTTAATTTGTTGGGGAAATCAGAACAGTTTTAATTCCTAAAACTATAACTGCTTAAAACAGTGTGACTCTTACTGTCATCATCCATGAAGATCAGAAATTCAAGAGCATATAAATTTTCTGTAGCCTTAGGAAAGTGTCTGCTTTTACAATGCAATCAGTGGCATATGGTAATGTATATAGGTAATGCATGTTATTGGATATTTGGCATTAAAAAGCATCCTTGTCAGTGTTGCTGTTTGAAATTAGACCACTTTTTTGGTTTAAAAAATTGATTATTTTACCTGCTTTACTCTTTCTGAATACGTCATCTTTTAATGCCGGTGTGGAGTTATAGAAATACAGTTGCTGGATCCATTTTGTCACACTGCCTGACAACAGATGTCATATTATGTTTTCAGTCTACACTTGTGCTATGAATTATTCTGCCCTCTGTGGATTCATGACTGATCTTTAGCAATCAATGCAGCTACTGTAGTTGATTGTAAGACAATTCCAGTTGCTGTGCTATTCGCTCAGCCAATTTAGCCCACACATTTAAATTGATTCACTGAAATGACAAACCTTAGGATTCCAAAATTATATCCTTCATTTATATTTAATTAACCTAAAATAAAATGGGCTTTTCGTGGGACTTGGCTCTTGAGATGTTTCAGTCCTGATTAATTTTTCTTCTTTTCTTCATAGGTTGCTGGATATTGAAAGTCAAATGATCTATTTTGCAAGTTCCTATGGAGGAATGGGCTGTGCTGTTCTAGTGCTTGGATACCTCCAAGTCAGTATTTACTTCTAGTCCTTCATTTTCCTCCCCAATCCAGAAGGGAAAAGAAGTCAGCTATTTAGCAGCTGAGGTTCATGACAATTCAAGACCCTATTAACATAATTGATTTGGAAATCAGTAACACTTTCTGTATCATATAAGCCATTTTTCTACCATAGGCTTCTGAAACGGGCAATTCCTATGTCACTGTTAATTTACATAAATATTAAATAAGTAATATTAATTCAAGTTGAGTCATGCAAAGTACTGTGCATTAATACATAGCCTTCCTTTTTTCTCACTTCTTACATGCATGGACATCTCTGTGGACAAAATGATAGACCGTTATGGAAATAGGACAAATTTTTGATCAGAAACAAATATCAGCTTTGGGACTGGGGTGACTGAATAGACATCCATTTACTTATAAAACACAGGGATCCATTTGCAAGCCAAAACAAGTCCTTCAACACAAATTAATCTACAAAACCAAGCTTTCGTCGGCCACACTACCGACATCGTCAGGGTATAAAATGCTGAGTCCGTTTTTATGTGGCCGGCTGTCTCTGCGCTTTGACCCTGGATCGGGTCATAGGTCTGCCCATTAGCATCAGCTGGGTAGTTCTTAAAGGGGCCATTTCTAAAGTTGTCCTCTCCTCTCCAATTGCTGTTGTTTTCTTTGTGCGTGTGTGGGTGCCTGGAGATCCGCTGTTCATCCACTCCCAGTCATCCCTCCCCACCCCCTCATTCAACTTAATTTGCCTCTGTATTGCTGTCTAGCGTGTGTGCTTCAAGCTCTGTTCTTCTGTTTGCCAGACCTGCTGCTTTCTTTGCCCGTGTGTAAACTCCTGGGGGTTGGTTGTCTCATTGTTCCTGTTTCTTGTCGCCCCCTCTCTCTCTCATTGATGGGTGAGCTCCTGTGTGTGTTAATGGGTTGCTAACCAGGTGTGTCTTTGGGATAACTCCACTACTTGTTGCCCTTATTGCCCCCTCGGTACATATACGGGAGCGCAGGAGATACCCATCCCGTTTGCGCTCACTATTACTCGCCTGTTCTCCCATTGATCGGGGCCGTAATTCTATTGCCAAGTCATTCACAAGGCACACCTCCGGAGCATTTCCCCCATTCTTAACTTCTATTGCCTCTCCTCGCTAATGGGCGGACCTATGACCCGATCCAGGGTCAAAGCACAGAGGCAGCCGGCCACATAAAAACGGACTCCCGGATCCAGCATTTTATACCCTGACGATGTCAGTAGTGTGGCCAACACGATGTCAGTAGTGTGGCCGACGAAAGCTTGGTTTTGTAGATTAAACATTTATGTTTATGAGTATATATATATATATATACTCATATATATATATATATATATATATATATATATAGCAAGATAATGGTAGCAGAAAGCATAAAATCAATGCTAGGAATATTGAGATCGTTTTCCATTTAGCTCACTGCGCCATCAGTTGGGCATTGTGTTTTTGTAATCAAGGAAAAGTTGTCTATCTTCTAATAATGTTTCTCCATTCCACCCGACCCTTTTTGTTAGATCTGCTTATGGGTAACATCAGCTGCTCGCCAGACCCAAAAGATCCGAAAAGCCTATTTCAGGAAAATCATGAGGATGAACATAGGCTGGTTTGATTGTACATCCGTGGGGGAACTCAATACACGAATTTCTGAGTGAGTAACTTGTGATAGCTACTGATGGGACTACATATCAATTGACAGACTCTGGAAAGTCAGTGAATGTTTAAAAAGTTATTTCTACCAGCTTGATTCTCAGCTGTGCCAACTTGTCCACTGGACTGGCACAACTGTTTATCCATAGCAAGCCTGCAAATGGCTTTATGAAGTTGCTGTTGACAGGGCCAGCCCTGCCATTACCACCTGCCTGATAGGCCCTGTTTCTTGCCTTGTGAGAGCCAATGTTTTGTGAGAGTGTTGAGATGTCAATATAGGAATAATGATAGCGGCAACTCTAGACTGAGCAGAGAGTGGTTGAATCACATGGAGCTAATAAGAGAAAAATGGCACTTTTCTAGATCAGAGTTCCCCAATCTTTCCGGTTTTGGGTACTGGCGGGGGGGGGGAGAGGGGATAGTTCTATGTGAGTGGTTCAGCTTCCACGGCTTGGTTCCAAACAGCTCACAGTCCAGTAGTGGGCCATTGCCTGGGGATTGGGAACTCCTATTCTAGTCTCCGGACGCAATTCAAGGTGTTGGTCATCACCTTCAAAGCCCTTCATGGCATAGGGCCAGGTTACTTACAGGACCGCATTCTGCCGCACAGCTCCCAGAGACCGGTGAGGTCCCATAGATTGGGCCTCCTTCAGGTCCCGTCGGCTAGACAATGTCGGCTGGCTGGCCCTCGGGGAAGGGCCTTTTCTGTGGTGGCTCCGACCTGGTGGAATCAACTTCCCCCCGAGGTTCGAACTACTCCCACCCTGCCAGCCTTTAAGAAAGCCGTTAAAACTCTCCTGTTCCGGCAGGCCTGGGGCTGATGTCCTCGGCGGGCCGGGATATGATCGGACTCGCGGTATGACTGGATTACTTTATTTTATTGTTTTATTACTGTTTTTAATTTTGTACGCCGCCCTGAGTCCTTTGGGATTGGGCGGCATATAAATATTTGTAAATAAAAAAATAAATAAATAAATAGATGGATAAAAATATCTGAGGAAAGTCCATCTGGCCAGATGACTGCAAAGAAATATGATCCTTCAACACTCCCCCCCCACATCCAATCAGAACTAATCCTTCTATTGCCGCCACCATCCCGCCAGAACCAATGAAGCTTCTTGGATGAGAAGAGAAACATTTTCCTCAAGAAAAAACAGTCCAGTCGCCTTTTGAAAAGGCACCTTTGAGACAACTATGACCTGGATGACTGAGAATCTCCACAGATGTCCATCTGGTCAGGCATTCTTCAGAAGCTGTTAGTGCTTTATGAGCATCTGTGCAAATTTTATTTTCCCCATCTTGGCCTTGTTAAGCAGAATCTCTGCAGACGGTCCAACCAATTGTCAGCTACTGGGGTGGGGGTGGGAGGGAAGGATGAAAAATAGAAGCTTACATTTGATAACATGTAGAATCTTGGTGGGAATACTCCAGCAGGGCAAAATACTTGGAAATATAAGACCTTCTGCCTGCACCAAGTTTAAGGTTAATCTTACATACGGGAAATAAACTCCCCAGATAAAAGAATGATCAGATGAATAATTACCACGATAAATCATTCTCACCCACATTTCCCCAGTGTAGAAAGGAGTGATATCTTTTCATGTGCGTTGGGAATTGTAATGAAAGCAAAATGTATCCGCTGCTTCAACTTTTCTTGTTCTCCACAGTGACATTAATAAAATAAATGATGCTATTGCTGATCAAGTAGCAATCTTTATCCAGCGCTTCACCACCTTTGTTTGTGGATTCCTGCTAGGATTTGTCAGAGGCTGGAAGTTGACCTTGGTTATTATCGCAGTCAGTCCCCTAATTGGGATCGGAGCTGGCATAATTGGCCTGGTACGGAAGTATGTCCTATCTGTTGAAGGGGAGTTCCTGAGGTTATTTAGAGGGAATTGGGGGAAATTGGAGAGGGGGGAGAGATTCCTCCAATTGGGGGAAATTGGGGAAAGAATTTCAAGTTATTGACCATTTTGATGCCTTGGTAACCCTCCATCAAACCATTTACTGTTGCCTTTTCTTTTTGAAAAAATTAGCAGCCATTTATTTGGCACAATTTCCCAGCAGTAGTTTCTGTTGTTCTTTATAAGAACTGATTGGTGGGGCACCTCAAGGAATCATTGGTTTGCCATTGCTTTCTTCCTACGGGTGAGATGGAGGAACTGGCCCAAAATCATTTAGTGGGCTTCATGCCTAGGGTGTGACTAGAACTCACAGTCTCCTAGTTTCTAGTCTAGTTCCTGAACCACTACCCCATGCTGGCTTCCATATGCATATACACACCAACATTTTTTTGTTTCATGCAATTGAAGAGCCATGGTAGCACAGTGGTTAGAATGTAGTACTGCGGGCTAATTCTGCTGACTGCCGGCTGCCAGCAGTTTGGCAGTTCAATTCTCACTGGGTTCAAGGTTGACTCAGCCTTCCATCCTTCCGAGGTCGGTAAAATGAGGATCCTGATGGTTGGTGGGCAATATGCTGGCTCTGTAAACCGCTTAGAGAGGGAGGGCTGTAAAGCACTGTGAAGTACTATATAAATCTAAGTGACGTTGCTATCAGAAGGAGAGAGCTCCGATGTATGACAGCTTATACTACAGAGCATGGAGTCACCTTTAAAGCATCTTGCTACTCTTTGCTGCTTCATAAGTCAATGCTAAGTTCCTTGTTTAATCAAGATGGCCATCTCCTTGGATTTTATAACTGTAAAGCAGGGGTGTCAAACTGCCAGCCCACAGGCCGGATGCGTCATGCTGAAACTGCACCCACCCCATTGCCGGCAATGGAAAAAAAGTTCCTATACGTCACGACATGTCACATGACATTGTGAGTTTGACACCCCTGCTGTAAAGGCAAGCCTTTAATTCACCTCAGCTGTACCTACATAAAAGTCCTCTGCGTAACCAGAAGGTTGAGAAAGCCTTCCTAACAAACAGGTTCCCCAAAGGCACAAAATATTGTGTTGACCTGCTCCTGAGTCTGATTTCATTAACTAAGTAACTTAATTAGATCGGCAGTTGTTTTTTTTTTAACTTGGCCACTTAAAAACTTCCAGAACGGGAGTGGAAGTTCATACATTTTATAGTAGCAAAATTTAAAAAAACACTGAGTTCAATTTTGGCCTATATAGCATCAACCTTTAAATAGCACCTTTGTGCCACATTTGTTCTTCTGACTTTTGTTTCTGTTGTATTGAAGTCTGTGGCAAAGTTGACGGGTCTAGAGTTAAAGGCTTATGCAAAAGCTGGAGCCATTGCTGATGAAGTGCTCTCATCGATCCGAACTGTGGCTGCTTTTGGAGGAGAAAGAAAAGAAGTTGAAAGGTTGGTTATATACCAAGGCTGCTTCTGAGCACTAAATAAGCTGACTGAATCAAAACAGATTCAGTCTGTTTTGCTTAAGTGTTAAAGATGAATATTAACATATCATGACAATGAAAAACAAGCTCTTTCTTGAAGAATAAACTTAAGCTGTGTCCAGGAATATCTAGCTTGTCCCAGATGCATAAAATGGGAAGGGTGTCCTAAGAGCTTCCTCGGATTTAGCTGCTTTAATTACACCAGCAATATTGTAGAGTTGGCCATGTATTAGCTAGGTGAGCATGTGCTGCCTGTCACACAGCCTTCTCTTTAATTAGACTAGCATCAGATATGATGGTGATCCCTCTTTTGTTGCCAATATCAAAATCTTTTTTCGTTCACCTGGAGTCATCAGAAAGCCATTTTGTGCTTTGCCTCTGGGATCAAAATGGCTTCCTGTGGCATTTTCAGTATTAATTCAAAGCAAGAACTGGACATGTGTGATGGGGACTTAGAAAGCAGCTTTAATCTAAATCAGTCTCCTTAATTCACTGTTTTGCAAAGTGGATGGCTTCATCCATTATGCTTTTGTAAAAACACAGAGTTAGTCTTGAATAATGCAACCACCATTAGAGAAACATCTACTTAGCCCCAAAAGACAGGAGGGGTTATAGAAGAAACTCAAGTTTCTTCTGTCTTGACTTTCTATTGTTATAAGTGGGAAGGTGAGAGAATCTCTCTCAGACTTACTTTACTGTTATAGAATATAACAACAGAAAGTAGAGTGGTAGGCCTAGTAGAAAGTAGGCCTGATGGTGTCTGATTCCTACCTGGCCTACTTTGGGTGATAGTGCTAGGCAATGGGTATTTAACCATAGTTTCTTGATTAATATATGCAACAAATAAGGTTGTAAACCAAAGGTTAGTAACCACAATGGCTGAGCTCATGCAACAAACCAAAATTAAACAGATCATAATATAGCTTAGCCTCATATGCGAACCCAGTCACTGATAGGCCAGCAAATAATCAAAGTTTAGGCAAGGGTCTTTTCCAGTCTTTCTTGGGAATGCAAAGAATGGGCTGTGACACCACATGACAAGGAATTTTCCTATAAAGCATCCCAGTCCTTTTTTTTTCAGCACTGAAAGCTGCAAAACGATCCTTTTAAATGTGCTCTTTCCAATTTTTTCTTTCCTCAGATATGACAAAAATCTGGTGTTTGCTCAAACCTGGGGGATCAGAAAGGGAATCATAATGGGATTCTTCACAGGCTACATTTGGTGCATCATTTTCCTGTGTTATTCGCTGGCCTTCTGGTATGGCTCAAAACTTGTCCTTGATGACAAGGAATATTCTGCTGGGACCCTTTTGCAGGCAAGTGCTATCTAAAACCTTTCCTCCTTTGAACACAGTCATTTAGATATGGGGAGAGTCAGTGACACCCAGCAGCCCTTCACTTTCTACCCAACTGCTTGGATAGACCCTGGAGTGATTATTTTATAAACCTAACTATTTAAAAAAAATTGGTTGACCTCTGTAGATAGCACTGAGGTAGCTATCTGCTCGGAACCTGCAAAATACAATTAGAAAAGCCATCCATTTGGGTTTTCCCATTTCTTTTGTCCTGCCACAGCATCCAGTGCTTCCAAAAAAGATTGGTGACAAGCCCAAATGAAGTGAAATTTTCAGCGCACAAACATGAAAGGGCGAGTGGCAGAACCTTTTTGCTGACTCCAGGGGCTGGGTTGGATTTAAGCCCTGAGGAAGCCAAGTCAGTTTCACACTTTAGAAGGTGGTTCTGGTAGGGATGATTCTCTGCAGCAAAATGTTACAGTGCAACATGCTACTGTTGGCGGACTCTTTCCAGGAGCTTCCATTTTAATGCTGTGCAAATCACTAAAGGTGCTGCTTTCTTTGGGGACAGAAACGAGGCATCTCTTTTCCAGCTGTAAAAGCAGCTGTGCCTTTCACAAAGTCCAAGCAGCTGCTTCAGAAGTGATTTTCAGCTGCTCTCATGCAGAACCAGTTGATTTCAAGCAACTACTTTGCCTAGCCTTGCTCAATTCCATGTCCTTTCTGCCATATGTTCTTCTCATCCCTGCTGTTCAGTGTTGCAGCCCAGTGGCCTTGCATTCTTGCTAAGCATGTCTGCTTTTAAATAGATCTGTTTTGGGGAGTTAGGGAGCTGTTTCTTTCTTTTTCTGAAGGTGAGTTGAATTTCTGTAGGCCATGCAATTGAAGCTGGTTAATGTTTCCCTATTCTGTAGGGGTGGTGCCATAAGACTCGGTGATTAGTTTATTAGAATAACAGAGTTGGATGGGGCCTTGGAGGTCTTCTAGTTCAATTCCCTGCTCAAGCAGGAGACCCGTACAATTTCAGACAGATGGTTGTCCAATCTCTTCTAAAAGGGCCTTTTCTGTGGTGGCTCCAACCTGGTGGAATTAACTCCCCTCCCCCCGAGGTTCAAACTACTCCCACCCTGCCAGCCTTTAAGAAAGCCATTAAAACTCTCCTGTTCCGACAGGCCTGGGGCTGATGTCCCCGGGGGGGGGCGGGATATGATCGGACACGCTGTATGAATGTATTCCTTTTATTGTTTTATTGTCAGATTATTGTTTTAGTTTTGTACGCCGCCCTGAGTCCCTTGGGATTGGGCAGCATATAAATTTTAGAAATAAATAAATAAATAAAAACCTCCAGTGATGGAGCACCCACAACTTCTGGAAGCAAGTCGTTCCAAGGATTAATTACTCTAACTTTCGGGGGATTTTTCCTTAGTTGTAGATTGGTTCTGTCTTAGTACATACCATGTATTTACCTCTAAAACATGCTTTGAATTAAGGGGCCAGCCCCAGACTTGGAAACTGAAATAGTTTCCCTAAGTTAAAGTCCCTTTAATTCTATTCCTGCCTTCTAACAGAGAAGAAGAGCATCTTTGATGTTATTTCTCAAAAGAACAAAGTATTTTATCTGCCTTCCAGAAATACCATTTTGGGCCATATATAGCTTCTGATTGTAATTTAGTATTAGCATGTAGAAACTAATATTTTTTTTCCCTTTACCCTTCTCAGGTTTTTCTTGGTGTCCTAGTAGGTGCCTTAAATCTTGGACAAGCAGCCCCTTGTTTGGAAGCCTTTGCAACAGGCCGTGGGGCTGCCACAAATATATTTGAGACAATAAATGAAGTAAGTAATCGCTGCTTGCTTTGGAAGGGATGAGGAGAGTTTCAAGGAATGTAAAGTGAGCTTCTGCCATGAGTGCAAATTAGAAATATTATAGTGATTAGAAGAAACTGATTGCAAGTTAAAGCAAACCAGTATCCTGCCTTACAAAGAGTGCATTCATCCAAATGACATTCCTAAGTGATTTTCTTATGAATATTCAGCTCCTCACTGAGCCCCACTCTGTCTGTCAAAGAGGGCTATACTTTATAAGGTACCTGATCATCAAGAAAGGCAGTGAGGCAATTTGCCAATTAAGTGGTTTCAGGAACTAAGTCATTCTGGCCCCTCAGGCATGTGATTATAAGAAGAAAAAAAAAAAAAGGAGGCCAGAAGCTCCAAGAATGAAATTAATATGTATAGCACTGCCAATGCTTCAGAATTTTGCAAGGAAACAAACACCACTCATTAAATCTTTCCTACAATAATTCTGTGGATACCAACAAGCTATGGCTGTAGAAGTCAATGATATTCTATCAGTTTTATTTTTTGCTTTGCCAAAAATAAGTGAAATGCATATAAATAGGCAAGTCTATGTACACTGAACAAAGCCACTGTGGATGTGTGGTTAAGGCATCAGGCTAGAAGTTAGGAGTCATGTCTGAGAGCCAAAGCCAGCTGGGTGACACTTGGACTGCTCATTCTTGCTCAGCTCTAGGAAAAAAGCCAGGGCAAATCATTTCCAAAAAAATCTTGCCAAGAAAACTGCAGGGATTAGACCAGGCAGTCACCAGGAATCAGACACTGACTTGAAGGCATCAAAACAAATCAATATAAAAACATATACTGAATTGTTTATTTAAGTAAGTCTTTTCTGCACTGGAGCACACAACCCAACTTCTGGTCCGCCTTAAGCATGGAACCTGCCTGATGACTTTGGGCTTGTCACTCACTCTCAGTTCAACCTATCTCATAGAATTATTGTGGGTGAAAATAGGAGGAGTGATTCCTGTGTGTGCCATCTTTTGTTCCTGAATATAAACTAGCAAGCCAATCACTTGTAGGGTCTAAATCAGGGGTTCTCAACCTTGGCAACTTTAAGACTTGTGGACTTCAACTCCCAGAATTCCTCAGCCAGCTTTGCTGGCTGAGGAATTCTGGGAGTTGAAGTCCACAAGTCTTAAAAGTTGCCAAGGTTGAGAACCCCTGGTCTAAATGCTCTGGGTGCCATGAATGGGTGATATAAATCAGTGTTTCCCAACCTCGGCCACTTGAAGATGTGTGGACTTCAGATCCCATAATTCCCCAGCTAGGGTTTCAAGAATCTGACACATTCTCTAGCTAGAAACTAAGCGATTTACCAAGACATTCATGGAAATGTTAAGTACTGAGTTGGGAGTGGAAATCAATAAGAGATGGAATCGCCACAAGGGCATTTCTGAAGGTCTGTTGAAGGTCTAAGGGAGGAAAGATAAATCCTTCAGATGGAGATGTAAAACTAGCTACTCTGTACTGAAAGAAAGCTTCTTGAGAAAAAGGCAAATTGAGTGATCTGATTACTTCTGCCCCAGAAACCTAAAATTGACTGCATGTCAGAAGATGGCTACAAACTGGACAAAGTCCGGGGTGAAATTGAATTCCATAATGTAACCTTCCATTACCCATCCAGGCCGGATGTTAAGGTAAGAACTCAAAAGGTTCTAGTTTGCAGCATTGCCATAATTTCCAGATTTATTCTGAGTACCTAACCGGGCCTTTCCAAATACAGTGCCATTTTCTTTCTTCTTTAACTCCAGATTTTAGATAACCTCAGCATGATTATCGAGCCAGGCGAAACCACAGCCTTTGTTGGCCCAAGCGGAGCAGGGAAAAGTACCACAATTCAGCTGATCCAGCGCTTCTATGACCCTACAGAAGGCATGGTGAGGCTTTGACCTAACTCTGTCATCTTTCTTTCATTGAAAAAATCCTGAAGCTTGAGCCATTCTTGCTGTGTAATTATGTTTGCAATTTACTGTAGCGTCATGCTCTTAGCCTCCTCTAATCAACTGGTCTTTGAACTCAAAGAGCAACATAACATTTATTTATTTACCAAACTCAAATGGCTACCTGTCTCATATGATGATCCTAGCCAGCCCATAATAATCAATACAAACAGAGATAGAAATAGAACCATCTTTCCTACCAGGTGCCAGACCAAACAGCCTCCCAGCTCAACCTCCATCCAAGCCCAACACTTGGAGGAAGAGTCATCTCTTCATGGCCTTCTAAATGCTAAAAGGGTAGGGAACCTTTGAATCTCATAGAGGAGGCTATTCCAAAGGACAGGGGCAGCTGCTGAGACAGTGTGCCTCTAAGGTACCATCAGATAACAACATTTAAGGAAGGGGACTGGAATGTACCCACCTAGCAAACCTAGTAGGATGGGCAAATCACCTCAGGGACTCCAAACATGTCAAAGAGGAATGAGGCCATATCCATATTTATATGAGAGATGCCTGGGTTTCAAAACTGGAAATGGAAAACTTTGTTGACCCTTGTGATTCCCACCCCCACCCCATGTGCACATCTTTGACTACATGGAAAGGCATCGTGTCATTGGCATGCAAAATGAATGGAGATGTTTTTCATTGTGTAATACATGAATAGAATACATTCTATGAATGGGATATTTGTGCAAATGGAAAATGTATCTTGGCAAGCAGTTCTCTCAGGACTCAGATCAGTTAATTTTCATACTTTGTGGTAAGCTTCATGAACCCTCATAAAGTCAGAGTTTTCTTAACTCCAATTTTGTTGAGGAAGTTAGCTGGCTACACATATTTCATTAGGACAAAATGAAGAAAAAAATCCATTATGATGTGCACAATCCATCCGTATAAAAATATTTTTGAATTCTTTTCATGGTCTTTTAATATCCAATCCACCTAGATAAATGAAATTATTAAGTAATATTATCTCACAGGCTTGCATCTGAATTAAAATGTCCAACAAAAAGAATATTAATCTCTGGAAAATTCAGAATTGGTTTGCACAGCCATCCTAAATACTGGTACCTAGAATTGTATCATTGCTTGTTTCATTTCATTGCTAACCAACTCTTACATATTTTACTAAGGAATTAAGTATATTGTTTGTTGTATTAACAACAATTCCTGGGGTTCTTCCATAGGATACATCTGCAGAGGCATATCAATACAATGATCAGAATTCAAAGAATTGTGAAGCTAATGCCGTGTGTCCAGAGAGACCTTGTGTTATTCTTACTTCCCCCTCCCTGCAAAGGATGCTCAGATGCTGTAGAGCAGGGGGTCTTCAAACTTGGCCCTTTTATGACTTGTGGACTTCAACTCCCAGAATTCCTCAGCCAGGGATGCTAGCTGAGGAATTCTGGGAGTTGAAGTCCACAGGTCATAAAAGAGCCAAGTTTGAAGACCCCCTGCTGTAGAACAGGTTATGTTTGAAACCAAGAGACATTTGTTTTTCTTTCCATGTATATGTATACATCTGAACTAGACTGTGTTGTTTCTCTGGGCCACATAGGTATGTGTATGTGGTTATATGCATAATTTTATGTATTTGTTTATTTTGTCATTTTTATGCAGTGTATATTGGGGGTGGTTACCCTTTGAGAGCTGAATGCAATGAAATCTCATTTTAACGTATGTTGATTAGCGTACATTTAAAGAGACAATAAAGTTTATTCTATTCTATTCTATTCTATTTATGTCTGGCTTGAGATTAAGGGAAAGTTGTGGAAAATTAATAGGCTAGACTTAGCCTCAGTAGCTGTACTTCCAGGTATTGTATGTAGGAATTAGAAACAAAACTGGAAGTAGTGGAGTATAATGCTGCTGTTTTAAGAAGTTTCATGTTAAGAGAGGAAGATGTGGACTTGAAGGTGTAAGTGACCATAGTCTTTACCTACAAACTGTTATTGTGCAGGTTACCCTAGATGGACATGACATTCGTTCCCTTAATATTCAGTGGCTGCGTTCTTTGATGGGTATCGTGGAACAAGAACCCGTCTTGTTTGCCACCACAATAGCAGAAAACATCCGCTATGGTCAGGAAAATGCCACTATGGAAGACATCATCAGAGCAGCCAAAGAAGCCAACGCCTACAACTTTATCATGGATCTGCCTCTGGTAAAAGGAACTTCATCTTATCCCTTCTCGGTCCTCTACCAAGATTGCCTCTTACACCACATCTGCATAGTTTGAAATCACTAAGTCAGGGATTGACAACATGTTGTCCTCTAGTTCCAAAGCAACCATGACACTCAATATTAATTTGGTTAAATGATCGCTTCTAAGAAATGACCAGCATATCTAGACCTTCTTAAAGCTTTAGAACTCTTGCACACAATCTCATGATGAGATTGTCCGTACGCCGAGAACCACCTGTACCTAGCTAGTGGTTAGCAGTACTCATTGGAATGATCCATCTAAGGATTATTTGTGTATCTAGTGAAACTTTTCAGACCATTTCTATTTAATAGCTTTGCATAGTACAACATACAGTGTGCTTCATCTTACCCCTGCTGAAGCCACTTGCACCTGGGGTAAAGGACGGTAGAAAACACATTGCTTCTGGTGAAGGAATAGAGGTGAACCAGTCTTTTTCCCCCTAAGATTTTTCCTTTAAAAGCTCTTAAAGGAGATTAAAACAAACAGAACAGCTGCAGAAAAAAACCCTCTTGAAATCATAATCTATATGTGGATATGCACATGGAGTTATTATGCTTTATCATGCATGCATAGTTATATGTGAGTTAGAGTTATTGTTATTTTCTTCCCCATGGAAATGGAGGATATATATTTTCAATTTATACATATATGTATGTATGTATGTATGTATGTATGTATATATGTATGTATGTAGGTCTTTGGTTATTCGGGTTTTCTCCCGTGTAAAATTGGAAGTGTCTTGGTGACGTTTCGACGAAGTCCCATTCGTCATCTTCAGGCTGGTGTTTTTGGCTTCGTGCTTCTAGGAGCAATGTGTGATTGTAGCTGTTTCTTCCTTTTAACTGCCAGTGGGGGTATGAACTGATTGGTTAGGGGCTTGGCTGTGCTCTGATTGGATGGGGGGTTGGTTGTGCTCTGATTGGGGGAGTGCTCAGGTTAGTCTGAGTTGTAGGGGGATTTGAGATGGCGAGCTGCATTGCTGTTGTTTGGCTTTGTGTTCGTGGTCGTGCCTCATCTCATGGTAGGTGTCAGTTTGTTTCATGTATGGATTGGAGGGGTTTAAAGTGGCTAATAATGCAGCTGTGGTCTGGCTTCTGGTTTGTGGTCATGCCTCATCATCGGTGTGGGTTTGGGTTTGCTTTTTGCGTGGATGTGTGGTGGTGACATCCTGTGTGGTTTTCGTGAGTGTGGGTCTGGTATCATTCTTTGTGTTAGGGACTCGTTTGTCAATAAGGGCGGGTTTCCAAATGGCTGGTAGGCGGGAGGTATCATCTTGTTTATTCATGCTGTGTGGGCATTTCTCTATCTCGATGGCCTCTCTGATTATTCTGTTATTAAAGTGTTCAGTTTTGGCAATAGGTTCTGGTCTTTTTAAAGTCAATTTAAATGAAATTGACTTTAAAAAGACCAGAACTATTGCCAAAACTGAACACTAAAACTTCCAATCATTGCAGCATCCCTGTAGTCACGCCATCAAAATTCAGATGCTTGGCAACTGGTGTGTATTTGTGATGGTTGCAGTGTCCCTGGGGTCACGTGATCACCTTTTTGTGACCTTCTGACAAACAAAGTCAATGGGGAAGCCAGAATGACTTTACAACCATGTTACTAACTTAACAATCCCCATTATTCATTTAACAACTGTGGCAAGAAAGGTCGTAAATTGGGGCAAAGCTCACTTAACAACTATCTCACTTAGCAACATGAATTTTGAGCTCAGTTATGATTGTAAGTCGAGGACTACCTATATTGGACTTCAGTTCCAATATAGTTCCTAGGACAGTGAGCATAATAGTGAGGGATTATGGGAGCTGAAGCCCAATCTATCTAGATAGTGGCAGTTGGGGAAGTCCTTTTCCTCTTATATCCGAGAGTTGTACAATTGTGGCCCAACAACATATTTTTATTTCCTGCCTTGAGCCCAAATCTTGCTTTCCCCTTGTCTGTCCCCAGGCCTGAAGTGAGCTTAATCATCTGTACTCTAGCATTTTTTCCTCCATCCTGGCCCCATCCAAGCAGCAGGTGGCATCAATTAGGCTTGTAAAGCAGGCCTCAGTCTGGCCATGGCTTGAAGCAGAGGCAGGGTAGGGATTAGAAAATCACAGGCCAGGATAGTTTTCTGCCAGATCAAAGATTTGCAGAGCAGCACCAGCTCAGCAGTGAGGAGAGCCCTTAGGACTTCTGTTTTCCCATTCTGCAAGTGTTGTTACAGGATTGGCAGACCCCTCCCTTGTTGCGTTTCTCCCTTCCCTTGTTGCGTTTCTCTTCTCGGGCAAAGCTTCCTGCAACATCCTTGCTTCATGAGCAGGTGGACCTTCCCTCTGGAGCAAAGATAAGCTTCTTTGTTTCACCACATCTTTCGCCAGAAGGCCAAAGTCCCAGTTATTCCATGGCTGCTTCTCTGTCTTATCTCATTCAACATAATATTTTTGATTGACTTAAGGCAGGGGTGGGGAACAATGGCCCTTTTATGATTTGTGGACTTCAACTCTCCTCAGGATGGCTGGCTCAGGAATTCTGGGAGTTGAAGTCCATGATTCATAAAGGGGCCATCGTTCCCCACCTCTAACCTAAGAGGACTGAGATGAAAGCACTTTTTAACCTTTTGCTCTTTCCACTATTTCAGCAATTTGACACCCTTGTTGGAGAAGGTGGTGGCCAAATGAGCGGCGGCCAGAAGCAGCGAATTGCCATTGCTCGGGCTTTAGTTCGAAAACCCAAAATCCTGTTGCTGGACATGGCTACATCAGCACTGGACAATGAAAGCGAGGCTACTGTGCAGAAGACACTTTCCAAGGTTATTATACTATTTCAGTTCATTGGGGTTAGGAATCCTTTGCTTTTTCAGTCTCTTAAGCATGGCCTCTTTATCAATAGAGGTGCTTCTTTTCCCTGGTTTTAACAACAGCTCTGGGATATAACATTATGGTTAACATGATAAACTGGAGTCTCAGACGAGGAGTAGGAATTTTTTTTTGACTTTTCCATCCACCACTTAGGCAGATGTTGGCCGATTTCATACAGGGTATTACTAAACGTGTGGTTTGCCTAGCTTTGGCTTTGCATACGGTGTGAGTCCAGACACTGTGCTTTGTAAATATGGTTTAGGGCAGGGGTAGGCAACCTTGGCTCTTTTGTGACTCGTGGACTTCAACTCCCAGAATTCCTAAGCCAGCATGGCTCAGCTTGGAAACTTCTCCCTTTCCTCTCAGCATGGTTGGCTCAGGAATTCTGGGAGTTGAAGTCCACGAGTCATAAAAGAGCGGAGGTTGCCTACCCCTGGTTTAGGGCTTAGTTAAGTTTGTGAGGCAACTACTCTGCTTTATTTGATTTAGATTATGGTTTAGCCTAATCAATGAATTTGAGCATTGTTTTAACTGTGGAGAGGGTAAACCTTGAGCGGGGAAGGGAGGCAGCTACAGTATTTCATCTAAAAACTTTTGGGAACAACAAATGATCGATTTTATTTAGATTTTGCATCTTTCTCCAATGCACACAAGAGCTGTTGCTTGCTGCAGTCTTCCTTTGAAATGAACAAGACAGCTTTTGTGAATGGAAAGGCCTGTGTGTGCACTGGAACTCCATAAAGGTTTGTTTAAAAAATAGTGACCGAGATGTATTTCAAAACATTTAAACCTCACAAGCATTCGTTGTCCATCGGATGGGCTGGCAGTTTCCAGAGAATTAGGTTTCAGTAAGAATGGGTTGGAGATGCTGGCAAAAAGAATGTAGGGATATGCAGATCAATTCACTTGATGGTTCTTTTCACTCTCTGGATTACCAGGGCAGCATTCTGGTCCATTCAGATTTTGTAATCAGATTTTTCTCTAAAATCTTTCTTCTATTTTCACCTGCAGTTTTGCTTAAGATACAGAACTTTGTGCAGTTTCCTACCATGTACATATTGTTGTAGATTTGCAAGAAAATTGAGTGCTGCTCTCTAAGAACTACTGTACCTTTGATCTCCTGAAGAGTCTGCAAGCATCATTTTCAAAAGAGGATTGAGAGAGAGAGACAAAAGGAGGGTATCCTTATAGGGAAGGAAGTAGTTCTCTACTTCCACTACAGCTTTTGCATTTAAAGTTTTTGTAATTTTAAAAAAGGACAGATGAGAGATGTTTGCTTCTTTTGTCTGTTGGGGTTCAATCATATTGCTCTCTAAGTTATTTTTTGGAAATACTATAGTATTATTGTTTAAAATATATTTTAAAAATGGATGCATAAATGCTGCACGCGACAAATGTATGTTTCATGCCCACAACAAATCCTGTTTTTCAAAAGCATTCTTAGCTCGAAGTAAATATGAGGCAGTGCTTTAGAAATGCAATCACCCAGAAACAGCTGTGTTATTAAGAAAGAGGGGTGGAATACTCCATGGGGATTTAATTGGGGTTTCAGTAACACCACTTATTTTATTTTTTAAAATATGATTTATTCATTTGGATCCACACAGATGGCTTTCTCTGTTAATGAATAGGAATGAGAAATTTTGCAACTTCATGAAAACTTAAATTCTGAAAACAGACATAGAGGAAAATTAGATTGAAATAAGCAGGGGAAAATATGTGATTGCTTTATCTTCTTGCAAAGCAATGTAGAGGAAGATTTGGCAATAACCACTTCTGTAATCTCCAACCTCCAAAGATTGTACTGTCAAAAGTCATTTTTTGCACTGTCATCTTCCTTCCTAGACTAAAATATGCATTGCCATGCCTTCCGCAGATCACAGAGCCTTTAAATGATACAAAAAACTGTGCCCTGGCAACCCAGGAAAGTGCCCATCTTGGCACTGAGTATTGCAGGATTCCTCAACATAGTATCTGTGGGGACGAACGTCCTTCTTCACACCTCCCTTGGAATCCTATTTGAATACTAGCCACATTGTAGCTATTTTATGAGTGAGCATGGATGCAACATGGTTGTGATGGCAAGTGTCATCTGCAGTGGTGGGATTCAAATACCTGAACAACCGGTTCTCTTATTAGATGCAGGCCTGGTCCTCTGAGGCCTAGAACGGACTTCCGGAAGTGGCATCTACACACTTCTGATGGGCCGTTCTAGGCCTGAGAGGCCTCCAGGCCTCCAAAGCCTAGACTGGACTTCCAGAAGCAGTGTGCATTCAGCTGGTTCTCTGAACTCAGCAAAATTTAGCTACTGGTTCTGCTGAACCAGTGCGAACTGGCTGAATCCCACCACTGGTCATCTGGTACATTAGCCAATGTATTCTGCACAAATTGAAGCTTCTGGATAGTGCCCCATTTGGTCTATCTCTCATGAAACAGGAGCTGTGAATCCAGCAAATCCTGCTCTTTCGGGGGAAATGCCTCCATCCCCGCACCACCAGAAAATGACTGTCATAGCCATGAATGAACAAACAATGTCTGTCAATGCTAAAACAATTCAGGCATTCAGGTTGCACAGGTTTATTAAGGTTATTTTGCTATTAAGTTACATGACACATCAGCCCCCATATTAATTTAAGGAATCTTTTGACATTTATACACAGCATCCATATTTGTAGAGAGAAATCAGCTGATTAAGGTTCATTCCATCCTCTGGGATGACAGAAGTACAGACCTGACTATTCTAGCTGTCATGAATGGTTGCACCTCCAAAGATCATTCTTTCATTGTTGTAGGCTCGTTCTGGGCGCACTGCGATCTCCATAGCTCATCGCCTGTCCACAGTGAAATCTGCTGACATCATTATTGGGTTTGAGCATGGAAGAGCTGTGGAAAGAGGGAAACACGAAGAGCTGATAGAACGGAAAGGAGTGTATTTCACGCTGGTGACGTTGCAAAGCCAAGGCGACAAGGCACTCATGGAAACATCAATGCAAAGCAAGTGCCTGATTCTGTATTTTTAATGCTCCTAACTCAAATAATTAACTTCCTGTTAATGAAGCCTGAGTTTTTTTTTTTGTTTTGTTTTGTTTTTTTGGTTCCACAGAGAATTAGACTTTGCATATTTCATACCAAAGGGAGCTGTCCACTTTAGGATCAAATGATTTCTTCTTGCATTGTATTAAAGATAGCTCAGATATTATTTACTCTGATATTAGCTCTCTCAAGGTACCGTAAAAGCCTCCCATTTCTTTGAATTGAATATGCCTAGGGCTGAACCTTGAGCTTTGTGGAGGCAACACATGGCTCTACTGCTAGCAGGCTCTACTGCTACCAGGCAATAAAGAGTTGATGCAGTCATTTGTGGAAACATACAGATACCTTCAGCCAGAGTTTTCTAAAGCATTTTTTTTTTTTGTCTTCACCTAATGTTCTGAAAAGTGCTTCCCTTCCCAATAGCAGTAGCACTTAGACTTATATACTGCTTCACAGTGCTTCACAGCCCTCTCGAAGCAATTTACAGTGTATTGACCCCAACAATCTGGGTCCTCATTTTACTGACCTCAGAGGGATGGAAGGCTGAGTCAATCTTGAGCCAGTCAGGATCGAACTCCTGGCAGTGAGCAGTGAGTTAGCCTACAATACTGCACTCTAATCACTGTGTCACCACAGCTCCTTTATCCAATGATAACTCATCTCCAACTACTTACATTTGTAATGCAGGATCTGGTTGGTTCAGAGGCGTACGAGGAAGAGTCTCTGCTGCCAACAATCATCTCTTTTTCCCCCCAAATTTTATTTATAATACAATTAAAAAACATTGGATGTAACGTGACATTCCAGTATATACATTCTTATCAAGTTGTTCTACATTTTACAATCGATTCTTCATCTCTAATTATACATCTAAGTTTTATATACAGTACTTATTCTAAAACAGTGGTTCTCAACCTGTGGGTCGGGACCCCATTTGGGATCAAATGACCATTTCACGGGGGTTGCCAAACAACGCAGTCCGCCATTTTTTTCCCCTTTTCCTTAGCTGTGCTACTCTCTTTTATTCTATTGGCTTTTGAAAGCCAATAGAATAGACTATCTTGAATAGAGTCTAATTCTATTTGCTTTCAAAAGCCAATAGGAATTGTCCATGCTGTCTCTGCCCTGCTGAGCCCGCCAAAAGTCCCATTCTGCAAACGGTGCTGCACCAGTTGAGTAGTCCTCAACTTACGACCGGTTGAGTAGTCCTCGACTTATGACCAGTTGGGGGTCATGGCATTAAAAAGGTTGAGAACCACTGTTCTAAAATAACATATATTTCTATCTTAACGCTAACCTTTAATCCCAACCGTCCTCCTCGAATCCCTCCAGCGGTAAATTTTTTCCCAGGTTTCGAAATAAACTGATCCATATTTGTCTTTCAATACCATTGTGAGCCTGTCCATTTCCGCACATGCTAATATTTTATATAGTGACTCTTCCTCTGTGGGAATTTCTTTGCTCTTCCATTTTTGCGCAAACGCAAGCCTAGCTGCAGTCAAGATGTGTAACAGCAAATAGATGCCAACAATCATCTCTTGACTAGCATCACTAGCAGTACCTTAGCACCATCTGCTCAGGGTTCCTCCTCATCTATTAGCAAATCTAATAGATGCTAATCTATTTGCAAATATCTCAGTGGAAAGGGCCTTTATTTTAACTCTATCAAAGAAAACAAGCCAACCTTGTGCTGTGCTGTTCCATTTTAGAATGAGGGAAGAAAAACTTTCTCCATATAAAACATATTTGGTTCCAGAGTAAGTGGTCCTAAATCAGGGGTCTTCAAACTTGGCCCTTTTATGACTTGTGGACTTCAACTCCCAGAATTCCTCAGCCAGGCACACTGGCTGAGGAATTCTGGGAGTTGAAGTCCACAAATCATAAAAGGGCCAAGTTTGAAGACCCCTACCTTAGATTAACTTTTCTCTTGACTTTCTTGTAGTGAGTTTGTAATGATAGCCCGATAAAGGGAAGGGCTCAAATACACCCAGTTGACTACTTGAAACATGAAATGATACGACCATGAACAGCATCTTCTTGCACCTTTACTCCTGGTGAGGAGCTAGATGAGGGGCTCTCGGGTTTCACACAACTATAAGTGCAAGGGGTAACTGGTCTTCTTAAAACTCCTGGGCAAAATCCACTGCTACTGTAAGTTATGAAAATGCCCTTATGGAAAAGAGATGGCAGCTTGTTTGCCAAATGAGCAGAGCTAAGAAGGTGCTTTATCCTCTGTTTAAATGATCAGAGAAGAATGGCAAGGCTTGAGAGGCAAGTGTTAAGTACCATACAGAAATTTTCAGTCTTATAGTAGATTTGCTTGATGTTAATGCTACCAAGGTACACCCACGTGTCATCTATCCTCCACGAGCTGCACTGGCTTCCTGTGGGTCTCCCGACGCAATTCAAGGTGTTGGTTGTCACCTTTAAAGCCCTTCATGGCTTAGGACCAGGTTACTTACAGGACCGCATACTGCCGCATAGTTCCCAGAGACCGGTGAGGTCCCACAGATTGGGCCTCCTTCAGGTCCTGTCGGCCAGACAATGTCGGCTGGCGGGCCCTCAGGGAAGGGCCTTTTCTGTGGTGGCTCCAACGTGGTGGAATCAACTTCCCTCCGAGATTCGAACTACTCCCACCTTGCCGGGCTTCAAGAAAGCTATTAAAACTCTCCTATTCTGGCAGGCCTGGGGTTGATGTCCCCGGGGGGGGCAGGATTCGATTGGGACATGCTGTGTGAATGTATTCATTTTTAATTGTTATACTTGTTGTTTTAATTTTGTATGCCGCCCTGAGTCCCTAGGGATTGAGCGGCATATAAATTTTATTAATAAATAAATAAATAAATACTTGACTAGATCCTTTTTTTTCTCTTGGATTCTCTTACCTTTGATTGTTGTCATGAATCTTCTATTATTGTATTTACAGCATCTGACCCCAAACTTGAAAAAACGCAGCCTTTCATCAGGGGAAGCTATCAGGCAAGCTTACGGTAAGCTGGATGGATCCAAAATAAATTTAGAATTTAAACAAAAACATATGGCAAAAAGTTTGATAATATCTACCCGCGCGATAGTTCAAACCTTAAGAGAAGGCATTACGAGCGTACCTATGGAAGTAAAAGGGAAAGTTTTGCATCATACTTTCCATAACAGCTTCTAGAAAAGAAAATAGGCCCACACCCATGGCTATAAATAATGTAGTGTTGAAATTCTCTTTGCTCTTTACAAGTACAGAATCAGAAGCTTCTGGTTCTGAATAAAGATAATATTGGTAATAATGGATCCACCCCCTCCCATTTTATAATATTGTTGAAGGGGATGTCAGATGTGGAGTTCAGTCTTATTTTGCAGAAAATATTATCCTAAGAAAATGCCTGGTTTTCTCTTAACTACTGCATTTCCTTTTAATTCTTCTTGGAAATATTGGGGGGGGGGGAAGGAAAGGAATTGGAAAGATACTAGATCTAGGACACACAAAGGATGATGTATGATAGCATATAACCTGTATACTGGCATTGCCTTGAAAGCAAACAAACAAAAATATTGCAGATCAGAAATCCTTTTAGACTTTCAAAAACCCAAATAACTCAAATTATATGACTTTTAGGCAGCTAAAATTTAAAGATCTTTTTTTTTGAAGTTAATTTACTTGGGGGATCTGAAAGTTTTATTTGGGGATGATAAGAGTCCTCTTCCAAGAAAAGGTAAAGAGTGTGGTATCTTCTCTCCCTGGAAATGGTAACCTGATCTTCCCAGTTTCTCTGCACAGTTAGATTTAGATTTTAAAAAGTTTTTTTTTAAATCCTCTCTTAAGCTGCAGATGTGTGAGAGATAGTACAGAACTACCATATTTTCCGGCGTATAAGACGACTTTCTAAACCATGAAAATCTTCTCAAAAGTCGGGGGTCGTCTTATACGCCCAGTCGTCTTATACACCGTAAAATACCATATTTTCCGGCATATAAGACAACTCTAAACCATGAAATTCTTCTCAAAAGTCGGGGGTCGTCTTATACGCCCAGTCGTCTTATACGCCAGAAAATACGGTATGTGGATATGGAATTAAAAAATTCATTTACGCCAGCTATCATGAATTGAGGCTACAAATATTAAGGCTGTGTGCACCATGTATAATTAATACTGGGAGGGGGTGTTTGGATCTTATGTAGATACAGTACCTCCCTATTTTTTTTAGGAAAGGTCCCTTACCTTATCCAGGTTTCTGCGCAAAGCTGGGGGAAAAAAGGGACTGCTGCTGTAGCAGATGGATTCCTTTTTTTTGCTGGTCTTGAGGAAATTTTGTCACTCGGGTGACAATGAGGCACATGACATTTTTCCCTGGGTCTCTGGATGACTTAAACTGAACCATGATTCTCAAATATCAGATGCAATAAGAATAACAGGGGCATCAGAATAAAGCTCATCGTGGCATTTTATATTAGATAATACAATTATTTAATAAATGCATTATTTCCTGAACTCCTGAGACAGACAAGAGTGTGACTGGACTTTTCTCTGCTTCTCTAGAGCATCTCTGCGACAGCGTTCCAGATCTCAATTGTCAAATATAGTCCCTGACCATCCAGTATCAATGGTAGGATCCTATTCGGAGCGCAACTGTAGCATTTCTCAATATGAAGAAGATGGAAGACCATTTATCAAGGTCAGTCAGAATCACTGCAAGACCAAAAGAAGCTTCTTTTATTTTCCTTTGTCTCTTCCCACCACATGACACCAGGCCTGGCCTCAGGGATACTTGTGTTGGAATTAAATGATTGCAAGTTACTCTCCTGGAGGCCTCCAATGAAGAATCTTTGGAAAACACAATTGGTTCAAACATAGCAATGGCAAGGTTAGTGAGGATTACAGGTAGGGATGCAGTATTACACTGGTCCTGTAAGAGAAGCAATGACTACTAATTTGACTGCAAGCAAATTAAAGCAGGGGTCCCCAACTCCTGGGCTGCAGCACATTCAGAAATAATAATAATAATAATAATAATAATAATAATAATAATAATAATGATGATGATGATGATGATGATGATGATGATGGAGGCACTACCTTGACCCCCAGTGAGGCACTACCTTGACATGGTTGTGGGGCTTGTGTACTCTAAGGAAGATGAGAGCTATGCCAGAGGTTCAACCATACTGGACAGGTCTCATCAGAGGAGTCAGACAAAGAGTGTCTCTCCCATAAAAAATATGGTGAGACGTAAATTGCAGAATGCCATACCGGCTCGGACGTCGCCCGGGTTAACAAGGTCCGCACTAGATATTGGAGTTCCTGGATATATGGTGAAAAATGGGTTACAGGACTCAGGACTGTTGGCTGAGCAACCAGGGCCAGCAGCTGCAGAACTACTGGAAGAAAAGGTGTTTACCCGTCGCAGATACACAGTGATGGAAAACAAAGAAATAATGATCTGTTACTACAGATCAAGTCCAACAAGAAGAGGATATCTAAAACGAATGCACCAGTTCTGGAAAGAACAACATCCAGAATCAGAAATAACAGAACAGAGACTAGCAGATCAACGCCGATTTATAACACAAAATAAAGTATTCACAGAAACAGAATTGGACGAACTGCAAAGGTTTACCCAGGGCAAAGAAATCAAAGCCTTACCAGAAGTAATTCAGAATGTAGAGGCAAACCAGGGGGAGTTGGCAGTGAAGGAATCCAGCAGAGATATACAACTGTTCTCATTTGGAAACCAGGCACCTCTTCCTCAGGAAGAACAAAACCCTCTAACTAAAGAAATAAAAGAATTGAAACAAAGAATAACTGAGCATCTAGAACAGCACAAAAACAACAGAATAAGGCTACCTGCATTGAAGCTTGTTCCAAAGAAACAGCTAGCACAAGCATTAAAAGATGCAAATACTGCAATATCAAGTATAAGCACCAATTCACTGCAAGAAACAAACCAACTAATGTACAGCACAGCTGCAGTTATAACAGAATACCTGGGATGCAAAATCAACAAAGAAGAAAAACAAACAAACAGTGCACCAGAAAAATGGAAGGTTAGACTAGAAAATAAGATCAGCAAGTTAAGATCACATGCAAGCAAGCTAGAACAGATGAAAGAAAAGAAGCTGAAGAACAAGAAGACCAAAGAATACCTAATCAAGAAATACCACTTAGAAACAAGGAAGATCAAGGAAGCACTGGAAATAATAAAGCAACAAATAACAGCTATAGCCAGGAAAATCAGTAGATATGAAGCTCGAATTGCAAACTATAGGCAGAACCTCCAATTTCAATCCAATCAGAAACATTTCTACCAATCCATCAATGGAGAAACTGCAAGGAATCAGTCAGTACCTGACAAGGAAGAAACAGTGCAGTTCTGGAAGCAGATATGGGATAACCCAAAGAAATACAACAAGGATGCGGCTTGGTTAAAAGAGGTGGATGCAAATAAAACAGAAGTTGAAATGAAAGAACTAGTAATAACAACAAAAATGGTAGAAAAAAGAGCAAAGAAAATCAAAAATTGGTCAGCACCAGGTGAAGATGAACTGCATGGGTTTTGGTTGAAACATCTAACTGTTATACACCCACTCATTGCCAAGCAGTTCAACAATATACTACAAGGAGGAGAAATTGAAAAGTGGCTAACAACTGGGAAAACCTACCTAATAATGAAAAATCCAGCAAAAGGGGCAACACCAGGTAACTACAGGCCAATTACCTGCTTACCAACAACTTTCAAATTACTAACTGGTGTGGTAGCTGATGCAGTGCAACAGCATCTAGTTGAAAACAATCTCTTTCCACCTGAGCAGAAAGGAAACCGCCCCAATAGCAGAGGAACAAAAGATCAACTCCTAATAGACAAAATGATCTTGGAAAACTGCAAGAGAAGGAAGACCAACCTGAATGTGGCATGGATTGACTACAAAAAGGCATTTGACTCTCTGCCACATGATTGGATAATAAAGTGCCTAGAAATAACAGGAGTCAGTAGAAACATCAGAAAATTTGTGCAAAGATCGATGGCACAATGGAAGACACAGTTGCAGATCAATGGTGAGAGGCTGGGAGAGGTTAATATCAAGAGAGGAATATTTCAAGGAGATTCATTATCACCATTACTATTTGTTATTGCACTGTTTCCTCTGTCAACAATACTGAATAACTCAGGACATGGCTATCAAACATCAAAAACATCTGCCAGACTATCCCACCTCCTTTATATGGATGATCTGAAGCTGTATGGAAAAACATCATCTGAAATAGAATCGCTGCTCAACACTGTCCGTATATATAGCCAAGATATTGTAATGGAGTTTGGCTTGGACAAATGTGCCACACTTACTATCAAACAAGGAAAAATAGTGAAAACTGAAGGAATCAAGATGCCCCACGAAAATAACATTAAGAGTCTGGATGAGGAAGAGTACTACAAATACTTGGGTATCTTTCAAGCTGACAACATCAAGCACACTGAAGTCAAGAAAAAGATTAGAGGTGAATACATCAAGAGAGTGAAGAAGATCTTAAAGTCCAAACTCAATGGAGGAAATACCATAAAGGCAATCAACACCTGGGCAATCCCAGTCATTAGGTACACAGCTGGAATAGTGGACTGGACTCAAGCAGAACTAAAAGCAATGGATAGGCAGACCAGAAAAATAATGACAATGAATCATGCCCTTCATCCACGCAGTGACATTGATAGACTTTATCTACCAAGGCAAATAGGTGGGCGTGGAATGCTACAAGTACATCAGATGGTTGAAGAAGAAAAAATGGCTTTGGAAGAATATCTGAAGAACAATGATGAAGATGCACTGAAATTAGTATATCAGGAAGGCTTACTGACTACTGGAGAGACCAAACTGGCCTACAAGAAAGACCAAATGAAGAACAGAATAGAGGCATGGGAAGACAAAGCACTACATGGCCAATACATGAAAAAAATAGCTGGGAAAGCAGATAATAATAAAACCTGGCAATGGCTAAGAGCAGGAAAATTGAAGAAAGAGACCGAGGGACTAATTCTGGCTGCACAAGACCAAACCTTAAGGACAAATGCATACAAAGTCAAAATTGAGAAGACAGCAACAGACAGTAAGTGCCGCCTATGCAAAGAAGCTGAAGAAACAGTGGACCACTTGGTAAGCTGTTGCAAGAAGATTGCACAAACTGATTACAAGCAGCGGCATGACAAAGTAGCAACAATGGTGCATTGGAAGATCTGCAAAAAATATCATTTGCCTGTAAGCAAAAACTGGTGGGATCATAAAATAGAGAAAGTCATAGAAAATGATAAAATTAAACTGCTCTGGGACTTCAGAATTCAAACAGACAAGCACCTGCAACATAATACCCCAGACTTAACAATTGTCGATAAGAAAGACAAAAAAGTCTGGCTAGTGGACGTGGCAGTGCCTGGAGACAGCAGAATAGAAGAGAAAGAACTGGAGAAGATAACAAAATACAAAGACCTACAAATAAAAATAGAAAGACTGTGGCAAAAGCAAACAAGGGTAGTACCAATAGTCATAGGCTCCTTGGGTGCACTCCCAAAACAACTGGAGCACCACTTGAACAGAATTGGCATTGACAAATTCGCTATTAGTCAATTGCAAAAGGCGGTCTTATTAGGAACTGCTTCCATCCTGCGACGATATCTGTAATACCGTCAAACATCCACATCTGCCTGCCCCAGGTCCTGGGTAAGGACTCGATAGGTAGACAAAATGCCAAATCCAGTCTGAACATCTGGCTGACTGTGCGATGATCCATAATAATAATAATATAACAACAACAATAATAATAATAATAATAAAAGTTGGAAGGGATCTTGGAGGTCATCTAGTCCAACCCCCTGCTCAGGCAGGAAACCCTACACCATTTCGGACAAATGGCTGTCCAGTCTCTTCTTAAAAACTTCCAGTGTTGGAGCATTTACTGCTTCTGGAGGCAGGCTGTTCCACTGATTAATTGTTCTCACTCTCAGGAAGTTTCTCCTTAGTTCTAGGTTGCTTCTCTCCTTGGTTAGTTTCCATCCGTTGCTTCTTGTCCTGGCCTCAGGCACTTTGGAGAATAGCTGACTCTCTCTTTCCTGTGGCAGCCCCTGAGATATTGGAACACTGCTGTCATGTCATACGCAACTGGGCTGTGCGAAGGCTAGTGTGTGCATGCACACAGCTACATTTACACGAGCAGTGCATGTGTGTACTTGCACTCCATTTGTGTGCATGGCGGGTGCATGCCTGCTGCTTGCACGGAACCTTCCCCTTTCCCCCCTAACAGTCCGCCAAGCTGGAAAGGTTGGGGACTACTGTCTTAAAGGCCTAAGTGGTGTAGGTCCAGATCAATTTGGGAAACAGCTTGCTCACAGCCTAAGATCCTATAGAGAGGCCCTTTCCTATGCCCCAGGTGAGTCAGAGGTTGGATGGTTGGTTGCACTTAAACAGAGGAATCCTCCTGTAAAAAGCCACCTTGACAACTTCACCTTGTTAGTAACACTGCAAAATGATTCCCTCGAAATCTAAAGACTTATAATGAGGCAGAGAGGTCTGCTGGTCCTGTGGCTTTCATAAAAATGATGAAAATAGCATTGTGCTGCTATATCACATTCTCACCCTTTTATGCAGTGCGTGGGATATCACCCCACATGTAGAAAAGAGGCAAAGATTTTGCATCATAATGTTGCAAACTGCCTTTCTCAGTTCCCTTCTCCTTTTGATTCTTCCTGCAGAAAAATGGCAAAGGGGGAGTGGTAGAGAGCTGTTTGCTTTTGTCCTCTGGGAGCAACTTTCTTGAATGCCAATATTTCTCTCTTTCCTTTTTTAAAAGGAAAGGATTCATGAAAAGGATGAGGAAGATGTCATACCTGCTAACGTGACCAGGATTTTGAAGTACAACGCTCCCGAATGGCCCTATATGGTGCTTGGATCTCTTGGCGCAGCTGCCAATGGGGCAGTCAACCCTCTCTATGCCTTGCTCTTCAGTCAAATTCTTGGAGTAGGTCCTATGTCCAATGTTGTTTGCCTTGTAATAAATGATAGTGAGCATCCTATGTGGTGCAGGAAATGGTGCGCAATGCTGACATAACAATTTCCTTTCTTTTATTTTGAATTGCTCTCTCTCTCTCTCTCTCTCTCTCTCTCTCTCTCTCTCTCTCCCTCTCCCTCTCCCTCTCCCTCCCTCCCTCTCCCCTCCCCCTCTTCCCCTCTCCTTCTCTTTAAGATTTCAGAAAATCTTCACAAGCCATTACTGGATGAATTCACACATCACTCTAAGCTATAAAGTGGTTTCTTCGGTTTGTCCTGCAGTTTGTAAATTGTGGCCCAGAGCTTAGGATGAAGCTGGCATCTTGCCTATCTTGCTTATCTAAGAAGCCACCATTTTAAACATTACTTTGATGCAATAGGAAAATCTAACCACTGTGTTTGCATATAATCAAAGACATGTTCCGAAGACAAGTTTAAGACTGGTTCTCCAAGCAAGCCCTGTTATCCTACCAGCAGTATTCTAGAGAAAGAAGGAAAGGAAGATGTGACCGTTTCATTAATGAGCTCAAGATCAGAAGAAGTCTTTGGAATGTAGCTGGCAATTCAAAATTCTGTGGAAAAGCCAATTGTGTATTCCTATCCGAAGGCTAGTTTTCCTGTCTGTTTTGCTTTCAGCACACAAGGAAATGATCCTACCTCTGATCTCAACATGATTTAGCGCTTTTTTAAAAAAATCTCTCTGCACAAGGATGCTAGTTTTGGGGAGAGGCAAGGCATGCATGTGGCAACACTTGTGTGATTATTGCTCCTAGCACTTCCTTTTTCCTTTAAAGCATTTGAAAGGGGGTATTAGACATGGATATTTATTTATTTTATTTCCCCAGTGAGTAAATGGGCAAGTGGGGAGTAAACGGAGAGTTAGGAGCACCGGTGGTGCAGTGGTTAGAATGCTGTATTGCAGGTTGACTCTGGCCACAGCCTGGAGTTTGATCCTGACTGGCTCAAGATTGACTCAGCCTTCCATCTGTCCAAGGTCAATAAAATGAGGACCCAGATTGTTGGGGACAAAATGCTGACTCGGTAAACCGCTTAGAGAGTGGTATATAAGTCTATTACTTTTGCCCAATGTCTCCACTTAATTTGATGTGGATTCAGGGACATATGGTTGCCAAAGAAAATATGGGGGGAAATAGGAAAATTGACCTACTCGTCCTACTGGGTGTTTCTTTGAAGAATCATTAATGGGTGTGAGATTTTTAAAAGACTTATGACTTTTTGATTCTCTCTTTTTATTGCTACTGCTCTTTCTTACTCCTCTTCGGAGCTGGATTGCTTTATCTGACCCATCATTACTTTCTTTGCACTTACCTAGATTGCTGCCTTCTCAACACATGCATATTTCTTCTGATGTATTTCATAAGGAGTGGGGAGGTGCAGTGTTAGGTTTCCTGGAACTATACCACTAGTACAGTAAACTTTCACTTTTACAACTGGGTATTAAATGGGATAATACACTTTAAGAAAGGTGCCAACAAACTGGGAAGGTATCAGAGAGGGGCAACCAAGATAGTTACCAGCATGGAAGGAGAATGGTGACTCATGTGGTTAGGATGCTGGGTTGGAGGTTAGCAAGCTCACGTTCGAGACCCAGGTGCTGGCCTGGATCAGGGTGAGCTCCCAACCTTTCCTCCAGCTCCTGCCAGGGACATGGAAGGAGCCCCCAACTGGGCATCCCCCAGCAACGTTGATATCAACGGCTAATCTTTTCAACACGGAAGTAGTAGTAGTAGTAGTAAGAAGTTGGAAGGGGCCTTGGAGGTCATCTAGTCCAACCCCCTGCTCAGGCAGGAAACCCTATATCATTTCAGATTAATGGCTGTCCAGTCTCTTCTTAAAAACTTCCAGTGTTGGAGCATTCACCACTTCTGGAGGCAGGTTGTTCCACTGGTTAATTGTTCTAACCGTTAGGAAGTTTCTCCTTAGTGCTAGGTTGCTTCTCCTTAATTAGTTTCCATCCATTGCTTCTTGTCCTGCCTTCAGGCACTTTGGAGAATAGCTTGATTCCCTCTTCTTTGTGGCAGCCCCTGAGATATTGGATATCGTGTCCCCCCTCATCCTTCTCTTCATTAAAGTAGACATACCCAGTTCCATCAACCGTTCCTTATATGTTTTAGCCTCCAGTCCCCTAATCATTTTTGCTGCTCTCGGTGCCTTGGTGCTTCCAATGTGAGTGCGATGCGACTAGCATGGAAAACGCTAATATGCAGATTCTACTGTCTGATATTCATTCTTTACCCCTGATGTGAACAGCCCTGTTATGAACCATTTGAAATGCCACACTGACATAAACATGGATTCGCCTATACAAGCACGTGTTTTCCTGTACCCTTTGGCCTAAACACTCAACAAAAACTCATAGTGTGCTTTCAGTTACCTTGTGCAAAAAGATTATGTTTAATCTTACAGCATTTCCTTTCCTTTCCCCAAGACCTTTTCTGTGCCTGATGAAGAAGAGCGAAGATCTCAGATCAACGGTGTCTGCTTGCTCTTCGTGGTTATTGGACTCGCCTCGTTCTTCACCCAGTTCTTGCAGGTGATGACAACCAAATACTGTAGGCTTTTCAGCATGAGGGTGCCATTCCCTTGCTACTCTCTCCCCCCCCCCCCCGTGTTTTTGGTACACGTGGTCAGATGCTCAGATTTAAGCTTGTTAACAATCTCTTGCAGGGGTATACTTTTGCAAAAGCTGGAGAATTGCTTACACGACGGTTAAGGAAAATTGGCTTCCAGGCTATGTTAGGCCAAGAAATTGGTTGGTTTGATGACCATAGAAACAGCCCAGGGGCCTTGACTACAAGACTAGCGACGGATGCCTCTCAAGTTCAAGGGGTAAGAGTTTTTAATTAATAGCCATTTCACAAATCATCCAATATGATTTGCTTCAAAATGAAGCAAAATAACAATTGCTACTGGCAAGTGTACAGTATATTTCAGTAATCTGATAAAGGAAGAGTATACAATTTGAGTCCCTCCTGGGGCCGTGGACACAACCTCCAGCGTGGGTGCGAAATTCCCAATGATTTATAATTATTAATGTAATAAAACAAGAAACTTACAAGGTATTATTAATACATGGTATGCAGATATCTGAAGCATCTAAGGCCGACTTCTCATTGCAGTTGTAAATCTGTATCTTCATTATAGTCTTTTCATCAGCCAGTGGAAGGCTGGCATGATGTATTCTGGCTTATTTTATTAAACCTTTCTCTCTTGCTCTTCTGTTGCAAACGCCACTGCTCAAAGCAGCTTTATAACATTTAAAATTATGATTTCATCAAAACAATCATGTAAAGCAATGAGAGGAGACAAGGCTAGTCATTAAAACCCAGTTGTAAAATTATTATCTGCACATCCAAGGGCACAAAGCAGTCTTCAAGAACTGGTGATAAAATGGATGAGGAAAAAAAGATCGGCTGCAATTTTTGGAGCAATACTTTCTATAATATAAGGCCTTTATAATAATAATAATAATAATAATAATAGTAAAGTTGGAAGGGACCTTGGAGGTCATCTAGTCCAACCCCCTGCTCGGGCAGGAAACCCTACACCATTTCGGACAAATGGCTGTCCAGTCTCTTCTTAAAAACTTCCAGTGTTGGAGCATTTACTGCTTCTGGAGGCAAGCTGTTCCACTGATTAATTGTTCTCACTGTCAGGAAGTTTCTCCTTAGCTCTAGGTTGCTTCTCTCCTTGATTAGTTTCCACCCGTTGCTTCTTGTCCTGCCTTCAGGTGCTTTGGAAAATAGCTTGATTCTCTCTTCTTTATGGCATCCCCTGAGATATTGGAATACTGCTATCATGTCCCCCCTTGTCCTTCTCTTCGTTAAACTAGACATACCCAATTCTAGCAACCGTTCCTTATATGTTTTAGCCTCCAGTCCCCTAATCATCTTTGTTGCTCTTCTCTGTACTCTTTCTAGAGTCTCAACATCTTTGTCTTCGCCCATTCATTCATGCCCAGCTCCCTAAACCAGGGGTCCTCAGCCTTGGCAACTTTAAGACTTGTGGACTTCAACTCCCACTGGCTGAGGAATTCTGGGAGTTGAAGTCCACAAGTCTTAAGGTTGCCAAGGTTGAGGACTCCTGCCCTAAAAAATCTGTCTATTGCAGTGTTTCTCAAACTTGGCAACTTGAAGGTGTGTGGACTTCAGCTCTATTGAGGTCTACTGGAACTCGACAAGAGAACTTTACACACTATGCAGAAAAAACACACACTTTCCCTAGTCATCTATAGCACACACATAGGGAAGATCACATTTTCTCCTTTGAAGCTCCATTTCTCTTGGGAGCAAGACATTCTGTTTACATCAGTAATTGTGAGACGCAAGGAACCAGAACAATTCTGCGAGTAGACCAAAGTAGTTTCTTTATTGTTGACCACTTATTTATTTACAAGAGTCTTGCCAGACTAACTGTATTGTCTTGGGAATAGGCAGATAAAGGCTTCAAGAATCTGGCCTCTGCCGCTTCCAAGCTAGATGACCTTTTTACTCTAGCTGATGATTCCACCATTGTAAAAGTGACTTTGGACCAATTTTGTCTTTGCTACCCCTCTCGTCAGGTTACCACAAGTTGAGAAACCAAGAATAAAACAGACAAAGAATAAAAGTAGCAGTGACTAAGTTGTGGCCGATGGGCCTATTCTGCAATTAGAAATATCAGAGATGGTCTGATATATGTAAGAAAATAAAAAGAGCTGGCCATAGGTTGGATGGAAGTCATGAACTTTCGTTCTTCCACAGTTTTCTGCTGATGGTGCCTCCATGCTCTTTGTGAGAGAATAAAGCTAGCGCAGGGGTAGGCAACCTTGGGTCTTTTATGACTCGTGGACTTCAACTCCTAGAATTCCTGAGCCAGCCATGCTGAATCTTAAGCCAGTCCCAAAGATAATATAGACTAATTCCAACCGCGTTAAAGCAATAGAAGTCAACTGAGGGACTGCATTTAATTTTTTAATAATTTTGATTGGATGATTTCTAAGCTTGGGATTCCTTATAGATACACATCTCAACCCCATACAGCATCATGTCCTGGACTTTATCTTTAAATAATTTCATGACGGATGGGACATCAACAGTCACAAGTGATGCTTTGAAGATTCTTATAAGCTGCTCACTATCTTTCTCTTTAATTCACCAATTGGTAGAAAATTGAAACTGAATTTTTCACTGGATCTGTCCTGCAAAAAATCTTGATCTTTGAAAGGCAGCAAAGCACCAAGAGAAACAATGGTTGGAAACTAACCTGGGAGAGAAACAACCTAGAACTAAGGAGAAATTTCCTAATGGTGAGAGCATTAGCTTTCCTCCAGAAGTTGTTGGTGCTTCATGACTAGAGGCTTTCAAAAAGACAGACGGGATAACCATTTGTCTGAAACAGAATAGGGTCTCCTGCTCAAGCAGTGGGTTGGACTAGAACAGGGGTAGGCAACCTTGGCTCTTTTCATGGACTTCAACTCCCAGAATTCCTGAGCCAGCATGGCTCAGCTTGGAAACTTCTCCCTTTCCCCTCAGCATGGCTGCCTCAGGAATTCTGGGAGTTGAAGTCCACAAGTCATAAAAGACCCAAGGTTGCCTACCCCTACACTAACCTAAGATACTCCGAGGCCCGAGAGGGCTGCCAAAATGGCTCACTCCTTTCCATGTAAAGAAATGGAATGACTTTCAACACGGAGTAAGGCTGATGCTGGGATGTACTGTATACACACCTCTCCTGAAATATTGTGTTGCCTCTCTGAGCTCTCCAGGATCTGCTGCATGGAGCCAGCTTCATTGGCGATTGACTGATTGATCTCCCTTCCCTCTCCTCCTTTCCTAGGCAACCGGCACCCAGATAGGAATGATTGTGAACTCCTTCACCAATATCGGAGTTTCCATCATCATCGCATTCTACTTCAGCTGGAAACTCAGCTTAGTCATCACTTGCTTCTTGCCTTTCTTGGCTTTGTCGGGAATGGTGCAGTCTCGAATGATGACCGGCTTTGCATCTCAGGACAAGAAAGCAATGGAAGCTACGGGAAGGGTAAAGGGCTTTATTTCTGTTTTAGACTTAAGACTGACCGAGATGATGACTAATTGCTCAAGCAATTGCCTTTGTTGGGTAATTATATCTGTATCTATCTCTCTGTATATACACATGCACAGAGCTTAAGCAGCAGAAACTTCCCAGCTGTTCCCATTTCTAGTGTTCGAAAGACAGCTCGCTCCTTAGAGAATCTATGGCTTCAAAGTGTCCACTTCTAAACCTGAAAAGCACTTTTATTGTCAGGTGGGACAGATGTAAATGGCAGCTAGAAACTGGATTCAAGAGTGGACCCTCCCAAATCTTGTCATACGGGCTCTCCCCCACCTACCCAATGTCTGCTGGAAATATGGGATGTTCACTGGTTTTAATTTCTGAATTTTAATTTCTGAAGGTATAGATACAAGTGGTCCTGGACTTAACGATCACAGTTGAGCCCAAAATCTCCTTTGCTAAGCGAGACAGTTGTTAAAGTGAGCTTTGCCCCATTTTACAACCTTCCTTGCCAAAATGGAGTCCCTGCAAATTTTATTCGACTGGTTGTTGCCAACTATAAGGGGTGGGGGCTCATTTCTGTATGAAAGACATTAAGCCAGCACCGTCTGAAGATATTTCTGTGTTCACGTGGCCAGCATGGTATCATGGAGTGCTGTCACCTTCCCACCAAAGTGATACCTATTGCAATTCTGGGAAAATAGGTTACGTAGCTGCCATAGGACTCTCACTTTCTCAAGGGGTTTCTTGTGCAAATGCATGTTGTTCGTTTTTCCTCTTTCTAGAGGAGGCTAAAGGGCTAAGAGTTTCTTGTCCAGGATTTTGCTTCTTTTCTTTTAATACTGCATTAGATTGGTTCCAATAAGTCTGCAACATCTGAGCAATAAAAGCAGACAGAAAAAGAGGGTCACTAAATTGGGCAAAAAGCTGTCTTTCCACTCATCCATTTTTTATTCATTTTTAATAGCATTACAATTAACATTTATTGAGAAATCAGTTATTCATTGTAATGTTATATATAAATGAGATAGTTTTATAACGATATAATTTCCCACTTGTCCCTGATGTGTTCTGATAAAGATGATCTCCACACCAGTGTACAATATTAGCAACAGAGGTAAAACGGATTTCTGAACTGGACAGCTTTTAAAGCTTTTGAAATTTAAGGGCTAATCTATTAATTTTTAATTTTATTTATTTATTATGTTTAGAAACCATCTATCTCCCTTACAGAGAGACTCTGGGTGGGGTACAAACATTAAAAACATAAAAACTGAATGCAACAATTTAAAATAGGGCAAGAATAGTTAAGGAGGTGGTTTATAAATTCAGACTAGTTTGAGACACTTTGCTGCCAAAGTCCCCATCTAGGAACTCCTGAGAAATATGGTGATTTTGTTGCAAATTGTGCCACTAGATAACTTCATTCATGCACTCCTCGTGCTGGAAAGCAATAGCAATAGCATTTAGACTTATATACCGCTTCACAGTGCTTTCCAGCCCTCTCTAAGCAGTTTACAGAGTCAGCATATGCCCCCTCCCAACAATCTGGATCCTCATTTTACTGACCTTGGAAGGATGGAAAGCTGAGTCAACTTTGAGCTGGTGAGAATCGAACTGCCAAATCGCTGACAGCCGGCAGTCAGCAGAAGTAGCCTGTAGTACTGCCTTCTAACCACTGCGCCACCAAAGCTCTAGCAGTTGGGAATAATCCCATGTTGTTAAGAAAGGCAGAGAATAGAATTATTTTCAAACTACAGGTGACCCTTGACTTATAACCATTTGTTTATTGATCATTTGAAGTTACGAGGGCACTGAAAAAAGAAACTTGCAGTTGGTTTTCACACTTATGACTGTTTGTAGCATCCCCAGGGTCACGTGATCCAATTCAAGGCCTTGGCAACTGGCGCTTTTTACTGTCATAGAATCACAAACTGTAACCTTCCCAGCTGTCAACGGGGGAAGCCAGGTTTGCTTAACTCTTGTGGAAAAATAAAGCCTTAAAAAAAATAAAGGGCCTTTACGAAATTCCATGGGTGAAAGAGAGATCTTTATTTTTGCGCAAAAAGGTTCAGAAGTGACTTAACAATCAACAAATTTCTGAACGAGGGGGAGGGTCTAAACTAAAGCTTTATAGGTTTCTTTTTCTCAGGAACAAAGGAAGCATAGATGGAATATTACATTGTATATGGAATCTACTTTGTGTTATTCCATTTCTCATAGGAATAACAATGAAGGCAGTTTTTACTTTTATACAATGTTTCTAAATATGCATTAGGTCATTCACATACTGTTAATACAGCTTTTGGCTAACACAGCTTTCTTTCAGAGATTATGCAGACACATGATTTTTGCTTTTAGTGATTTTTCATTATTATTATTATTATTATTTTACTTTATTCTTCTTTATTCTATGTTATTCTATTTCTTTCCCACATTATAACGATCGCTTGATTCCCTTAAAAACTGCACTGATTTGCTTAATAACTGTGACAAAAAGGTCATAAAATGGGTCCAAACTCACTTAGCCGCTGCCCTGCTTAGTTGTCGTGAGTGAATTGAGGACTACCTATACAGGTATATTCCTAGATGCAGGAACACTAACCATCACTCAGCTTCATAAGGATGCAAAAAGAAAAAAGAAATCTTGACTACCATAAGATCTGAATGTAATTTCATTTCCGTCCCCGCTCCTTCCTCCTGTTAACTCTGTGATGGGATACAATTTTAAAAACTGTATTCTGAAATCCGAAGGATATATTTGTTCTCAGACAAATTCAGTACCAGCCAGACTTCTGGGAAATGGCTGCTTAACTTGCATTCAGTTTATTGAACTTCAGCATAATGAGACAAAGAAGGAAAGGGGTTTGCAGAGCCCCTTTATGAGCCTGGTTCCTCGCTGAGAGGTTCTGAAAATGCAAATGATATAAAAACAACACCTTCGTGATCCTGAGAGAGCAGGCACACTCCTGGCTAATGCTAACAACCTGAGCACAGAACAAATAGGGCGAGTCAGCCACAGCTTGACAGGGTTGTTCAGGGATAAACAAGGTATACCTGTAATGCGGGACAGCCTGAACCTTACCCAGATGAAATAATTCATGCCACATACCATCAATTACAATAATAGTCTTGCCCCAGACAGGACAACTCATCTCTAAAATAATTATAGTTCTTGGATTAACACCGTGTTAAGCCTTAATTCAGTTCTGGCTACAGCTGGAAAGTAGGTCAGGTCTCTCCTTAGGAGGCCAACCAATGAAGGGCAGAGGATCAGAATCAGAAATCAGGGTTAAGGAGAAGCAGAGCATTTAGGGCAAAGTCAGCCCAAGCCATCCCCATGTCTATTCAGTTAAGATAGTTCCTCAATCTGAGGAAATGACAAGTGTGTTGGAATCCCAACAAACGTGTTATGGAGAATATTCTCCTGAACGGTAATATAATTTAAATGTGAGTTTGGCTGAAGTTAAATAAAGGGTTTCCCCACCCCTGAGCTTGTCCACTAATTTGACCTAAGGTTACCTACTTTTTAGAGTGATCCTCACACATTATTAGGAAGGAAGGAAGGAAGGAAGGAAGGAAGGAAGGAAGGAAGGAAGGAAGGAAGGAAGGAAGGAAAAGAAAGAGAAGGAAGGAAGGAAGGAAGAGAGAGATAAAGAAAGAAAGAAGAAAGAAAGAAAGAAAGAAAGAAAGAAAGAAAGAAAAAGAAAGAAAGGAAAGAAAGAAAGAAAAAGAAAGAAAGAAAGAAAGAAAGAAAGAAAGAAAGAAAGAAAGAAAGAAAGAAAGAAAGAAAGAAAGAAGAAAGAATCTCCATTATCCTTTGAGGTTAGCAGGCATCATAAACAATCAGGGCTTATTCTTCCAGAGTTGTTAAGAGGCAGATTCTTGATGACAAAGGAACAATAAATTAATCAGTATTTAGTCTAGTGTTCTATAGAAACCATCTCATCCTATTGTGCATGATTTGCTGTCTGCTTTGGATTTGCCAATTCCTACTTCAGATGTCATGGAACCCCCGCTTTAATATGTGAGAATCACAAGTCTGTAGTTCTCTAAAGTGAAATGTCTGTACAATAATTCATAAACCTTTGTATAATCCTTAACAGATTTTTCTTTTTCTTTGGGAATCAGATTTCCAATGAAGCCCTTGCAAATATTAGGACCATTGCTGGAATTGGAAAGGAGAAAGTTTTTATCGATGCTTATGAGAAACAGCTAGAAGTCCCTTACAAAGCAACTATTAAAAAAGCAAATGTTTACGGAGTTTGTTTTGGCTTTGCACAGTGTGTTTTGTTCGTAGCCAATTCTGTCTCTTACCGATACGGAGGATTTTTAGTTGAAAAGGAAGGACTTCACTACAGTTACGTATTTAGGTAAGAACACCCCTACATAGATGTCATTTCTTTAAATACCACGGAATCTATGAATTCTCAACAGGCAAATATCTGACTGTGAAAGCTAAACAATGCTCAAAAGGATGCAGAGGGGAAGGTTATAAAATATTGTGATAACTAAATAATTTCCCTCACAATATTAAGTACATGCTTTAAAATCAAATTCTGGAGACTAGGCAGAAATAAGGGGCTCTGATCTTTATACCTGGCTTGCCAGCTTCTCAAGCCCAATTTGCTGATCCTGGATGGAAACCCAACCGGAGATTTTCCAACTGATTCAACAAAGCTTTTTTTTTTTTTAAAGTGCCCTGCAAACCAAAACATGTCTTTTCCAATTTCAGAGTGATTTCCTGCATTGTTACTAGTGGAACCGCTTTGGGAAGAGCATCTTCTTATACTCCAAATTATGCCAAGGCTAAAATAGCAGCCGCCCGTTTTTTTCAGCTGGTGGATCGGATTCCCCGAATCAGTACGTACAGTGACGTTGGAGAAAAATGGGTAAGAAAACAATGGCTGTTATTTGAATCACATAATTGTAGGCTTGGAAAGATCCAAAGGTCAGACAGTCCTCTGCCGCTCTCAAGCAAACTAGATTACAGTGTGCGGCATGCCAGGAAACTAAGGGAAAAGATCAAAAGTGTCCTGGTATTCGGGTGGGCACAATGTGAGCTCAGTGTTGAGCAAATAATACATATTTAAGACAATAGGAAAGCACTCTGGTGCCAATGCTGGAAGATGTAATATTTGCTCTTAAACACTGTGATTGTGGCTTGACTCTTTTTGTCCTGTTCTTTATATCCCAAAAGATATACAGTAATATCCATAGAGAACTGCTTGATGTAGTACCATGTTTCCCTCAAAATAAGACTGGGTCTTATATTAATTTTTGTTCTAAAAGACGCATTAGAGCTTATTTTCCAGTTAGGTCTTATATTCAGGGAAACACGGTACTAAATGCGTCCGTCTGGCTGATGATCTTAACTGGGGCTTATTTTGGGGGTGGGGCTTATATTATGAGCTTCCTGAAACATCATGCTAGGGCTTATTTTCCTGTAGGGTCTTATTTTGGGGGAGAACAGGTAGCTAAGATGCTAGATTGGGAGCAGGAAGAGTCAACTTCTAATCTACCCTTGGGCACAGAAACCAGCTGGGTGATCCTGGGGCAGGCATTGTGTCTCAAACCTGAATGGAGAAGTCAAAAAACATCTATCCATCAATTTGCATTGGAAAAGTATGGTAGATTACGGTCCATAACTTTGATTCGTGGGCTGATAATAATAGCCATGGTGACTGATAATGTTTTTCAAGTTCTGGATTATGTTTGCCTGTCTGGTCCCTTATCAAGCAGTCCCCAATTTTATTCTAGTCCTCCAGTTAGAGAACTTCTTTAAGTCACTTTTAGATGGAATTGTTCTCAAAATATCTAATGAATTCATGCCACAATTATAGTCAACAAGGAAACCAACCTACCAATGTTGTGCACAACAAATAAAACTAGAATTGAGGTACAGGTAGTCCTCAGTTAATAACCGTTCCATTTAGTGACCATTCAAACTTAACAATCATGCTGGAAAAAGCTTTATGATCAGTCCTTGAACTACGACTGTTGCAGCATCCCTGTGGTCATGTGATCAAAATTCAGGCGCTTCCCAATTGGTGCACATTTATGATGGTTACAGCATCCCACAGTTACATGATCACTGTTTGCAACCTTCACAGCCGGCTTCTGACAAGCAAAGTCATTGTGGAAGTCAGGCGGGAAGTCACAAGCGGTGGTCACATGACGTTAAATGAGTCGCTTAACAGCTGCATCAGAACTGATCTTGTAAATTGAGCACGGTCATGTGATATTTCACTTAATGATTGAATTGCTTGGTGATGGAGTTGCTCGTCCCAACTGCAGTCATTAAATTAGGATGGCTTGTACCAAAAATAGCAAATAAACCTAAATATATACTGTACAAGCTTCCTTGTTTTGTAAGCCAGGATTATAGATTTCCTTTCAGTTACTCTTCATCAGTAGAGAAAGAAGGGGTAGCTATGCTTCCACTAACCCTTGTAATCCAGTAAGTCTGCCAGAAACAAAGTTGTTGTCCTTGTGCCTTTGCCTGGGAGTACTTGCAGAGTTAGCCTCCCAGTTCAGTTGCCCCATCAGCAAAATAGGGAAAAATCTAAGGGCAGAAACAGTTATTTCCCTCTATTAACCCCCCACTCACCATTAAAGCAGTCTCAGGGGATGAAAGTTTCTCTGCGCCCCACTTTCAAAGTACACATTTCCTTTTCTAACACTGAAAGTTTTTAAGAAGAGATTGGACAATCATTTGTCTGAAATGGTATAGGGTTTCCTGTCTGAGCAGGGGGCTGGACTAGAAGATCTCCAAGATCCCTTCCAACTCAGCTATTCTATTCTATTCTATTCTATTCTATTCTATTCTATTCTATTCTATTCTATTCTATTCTATTCTATTGTTCCACTCCATTCTACTCTACTCTGCTCTACTCGTTACATTGCCTTGAATGCCCTGGGTTTGAGCACTTCAGTCAGTTACAAGCTAATCCCAGCAGTTCATTGTGTATTTCACAGCAGAAGGACACCCCTCAACACACACACACACACACACACACACTTCAGCTGAACCAATGCTTACCATGCTCCATAGACCATTTTCACAGCTGCCTCTTTTATTGTAAACATTATAATGAATGCCAGCAATGATGATTCCTGTAAGGGTTAGGGCAGTGGTTCTCAACCTTTTTAATGCTACGACCCCAACCGGTCGTAAGTCAAGGGCTACCCAACCGGTCGTAAGTTGAGGACTTTCCCTGCCCGGGAGTGCCGTGCATGCGTGGTGCCGCTCCCTGCGCTGGCTGAGGCGTAGCTGGCAAGCAGCAAAGATGGTGCAGGCCGACCACCGGCTGGCCCAGCCCAAGGAAGGTAAGGCACCTGCCGGGCCCCACGCGTGCCAGCAACCCTCCCTGCGCCCGCTGGCCTCCCACCTCCCACCCCTGGCCCTCTTTTACTTACATTTTTAGTAGTTGCTCAGCAGGGAGGGGTGGAAACTTCCAGACAGCTCGCCTTCGCTGCAGACACCTTGCAGCACCGTTTGCAGAATGGGACTTTTGGCGGGCTCAGCAGGGCAGAGACAGCCTGGACAATTCCTATTGGCTTTTGAAAGCCAATAGAATTAGACTCTATTCAAGAGAGTCTATTCTATTGGCTTTCAAAAGCCAATAGAATAAGAGGGAGTAGCACAGCTAAGGAAAAGGGGAAAAATGCCGGACTGCATTGTTTGGCGACCCCTGTGAAATGGTCATTCGATCCCAAATGGGGTCCCGACCCACAGGTTGAGAACCACTGGGTTAGGGTTTCCTAAACTGTGAAATGCACCTCCCTTGGGTTGTACAGTGCTACAATAAATTCACATTTCCCAAAGTTTCATGGTCTTATTTTCTTAGTTCAATTGTGCTCATTTGGGGTTTGAATTAAGATGACACTAAAGGGAGGTGTGGTAGCAAAACATTTAGGAAACACTGCTCTAAAAGACAATGAAAACAAGGCAGCAAGCATTTTATTAAAAAGTGTTTTGTTGTGTCTCCAAGTATAACATTTTGATGCTTTAACACACACACACACATTCATACATGTATATATAACTTGCACATTTACATCCACCTATATTGAGCCATGATAAACATATTATCAAGAAGATTTCTGCATAGGAAGGAAACTGATTGGCCGTGGTTCTCCAGAAACCAAAAGGTGGGAGGGTCCAGCAGTAGTAAATTGACCAATAGGAAGTAACATAGTCTATCTTGTGAATTTTTGCCAGAATATATCAGTCAAGACAGAATATGCTTAAATTGGCTTTGATTCAAGGCAGCATGAGACCAGGAAAAGAGCAATTTAAATATTAAAATGCAGATACGCAGTATAACTCACTGTACATTGGAGAATCCTCTGTTTAAAGACATTGGCCGATGGGATTTATTCTGTTCCAGGCAGAACAGATTGCTTCCCAGTTCAATCTAGTACAGATAGATGTTGTTGTTGTTGTTAATTGCGAAGTCGTGTCCGACCCATCGCGACCCCATGGACAACGTTCCTCCAGGTCTTCCTGTCCTCTACCATTTTCTGGAGTCCATTTAAGTTCACACCTACTGCTTCAGTGACTCCATCCAGCCATCTCATTCTCTGTCGGCCCCTTCTTCTATTGCCCTCAATCTTTCCCAGCATTAGGCCCTTCTCCAGTGAGTCCTTCCTTCTCATTAGGTGGCCAAAGTATTTGAGTTTCAACTTCAAGATCTGGCCTTCTAAAGAGCAGTCGGGGTTGATCTCTTCTAGGACTGACCGGTTTGAACGCCTTGCAGTCCAAGGGATAACTCAATAGAAATGATTATAAAACAGATAAATGTTTATTAAGAGGAATACTTGCTTTTACGTTGTTGCTTCTGTATATTACATCTCTCTGTTCATTTCCATAGGTAAATTGATAATGGATTTTCCCCTCTTCTTCTGCATAAGCATCACATGTTGGCATAAGCATAAGATCTCCGAGCCGTATGGCTAGGGGCCATGAGGCTGGATGAACAAAGGCATTCCCCTCAGGCTTGTGTCCAGGAAGTCTCCCAATGCCCTTTAGAAATTCCTCCCACTGACCCATCAACAAAACTAGCATTTAACCCAATAACTGCCAGATATTCTAACATACTGATACATGCTCTCTAGGTAGGGTTACATAGAGCTATACGAGGTTACATAGAGCTATACGGTCTAGAACAGGATTTGTTAGAAATGTTTTGACCTCAGGTAAAAAGATAAACTTCAAAATTCTAGTGCAAATCCTAATATTATACTGTGGATTCATTCAGCTGTTGCAGCTGTTAGACAGTTGTAAATGAAGCATTCATTTAATGTTTATATACTTTCAATACTGATTAGTGATTCTATGCTTTTAGTATTGTCTACAAAAGGAAAAAGACAGTTGCAAATGGTGACAAAATATATATTTTTTAATTTAAATCTCATGCATTATACTGGTTGGCCCTGAATCTGCTCATCTCTTGCCCTTTCGTTGAAGTTGTTCAACTTTTAACTTTCTTTGAAGGTTTGTTAGAGTAGCAAGAAATACAGCAAAGTGCAAATCAGATTAAAATATTATTGTCCTTTTTTTCTTCTCTTCTTTTCACAAAATATTAACTTTTTACAAATGAAAATGAAATAGGAGAACTTTGCCCTGTACTGAACGCAAATAGATTTCAGTTTTATCCACTTCCAGTTGATTGATTTAAAGAGAGATCTGTGACAGCTTCGGGAACTACAGAAATAATAATCATTAGCTTCCATTTGCAAATTCTGAAGCATGATTTTCTTTTTGCTGTTGTATAATCAGGATAATTTCCATGGCAGAATTGAATTTCTCAACTGTAAGTTCACATATCCATCTCGTCCTGATACCCAAGTATTAAATGGCCTCACAGTATCTGTAAAATCTGGGCAGACCCTTGCCTTTGTTGGAAGCAGCGGATGTGGAAAAAGCACCTGTGTTCAACTTTTGGAGAGGTTTTATGATGCCGATGAAGGAAAAGTGGTAAATAGCTTTTGTTGCTTTGATAACATAAAAGTATTAATAACTAAATTTGCAATTTGGTCTTCATATATCAGTGTTTTTCAACCTTGGCAACTCTAAGACATGTGGACTTCAGCTCCCAGAGTTCCCCAGCCAGCTTGGGAATTCCGGGAGTTGAAGTCCACATGTCTTAAAAGTTGCCAAGGTTGAGAAACACCACTCTTCAGATTTAACAGCCCCCCCTTTTTTTAAAAAGACATCTTTGAAATCAAACTTAATTCCTTGTAAATACACATTCCCATCAATCAACTTCTCAGTCCAGCTTTCTTTGTGACAATACAGGCGTGTAAATAAATTTATAAATAATAAATGAATAATTTATCTTTCATATAGATGCCTATTTCATTTTTAGTGATTCTAGGCAGCTTGCAGTAAAACAAATAAAATACATAAAATACACAGTATAAAAAAGCAAATAAAAATAAACCGTGTAGTAACCAGGTGTAAAATAAGCGAAGAAAGGAGTACTATGTATGTTCAACTCCTTGAGTTACTTATAAAATAATAAAGGCATGATAAAAATCAAATCAATAAAAAAAATAGAACCAATCACCCACACAATCAGGAAATTGTGGGTCTGTGCCATGCCCTGGGCCCCAGACTTAGGCACAAAGCCACATTTTCAAGGCCTTACAATAAGCCAACAGAGACGGACCCAATCTAATCTCTTTCCTTCTGGGCTCTGCCATCCAGCACTCCCCTAGCACATGGTACCCAAAGCATATCCTTTGTGTCAGATTGGGTGGACACAATTGGGGAGAGAGGGTCCCATAAGTAACCCAGTTCTTGTTTTGTTTTGTTTTCTGTTTTGCTTTTGTTTTTTTCAACTTCTCACTATGCAATCCTGATATTTCCCAATGATGTTCGATCCAAGCACTAAGTAGGTCTAATCCAGTTTAACTCTTTGAAGTCAGACAAGATCAGACAGGATGGCCGAGATTTGGTGTGGGAAGGTGGACTGCATAGAATAGATTTCACATGTCAATATTTTGCTGCAGGTTTTGCTTGTTCCACATATATCATGGAGGTAAATTCAGCTGAGGCCTTCAAATCTTTAATTCCAGAATTAGACCTGGGTATCTGCAGGGGGCAAACTGTAAAACATATGTATGCATGCATGCAAAGGGTAGTGTTGTGTCACGTCGCTCATTTTATCGTTCTGACAAAATCCTGAGATTCTGCAGAACTCTTAGCTTGCAAATGTATTTTTTACCGATAACACCCATGCAATTATCCACACAAATTGTGGTACTTAAATTTCACATGTATCAGCAAATACAAGCAAAGGTTTGAAGAAGAAATTTTAATTTTGTACCAAAGACGTTCTGTATGTTTTTGTGTTTTTGATATACAGCTGATAGATGGCCGTGACACCCGGCAAATAAACATCCACTTTCTAAGATCTAGAATAGGAATAGTTTCTCAGGAACCTGTGCTGTTTGACTGTAGTATTAGCGACAACATTAAATATGGTGATAACAGCAGAGAAATATCTATGGATGAAGTGATAACAGCTGCCAAGAAAGCCCAATTACATGAATTTGTGATGTCACTCCCCCAAGTGAGTACCATTTTTAAAATGCTATGTTATAGAAAGAAGAACTGGTCTGAACATTCTCTTCACTGCTGATTTAACATATTCTCAATACTTCTGCGTCACAATAATGTTTTGAGTAGTTAGCCCTCTGCTTTCATTCCTTCTTTTGTGAATTGTTTGGCTTTCTCACCTTTGATAGATTTATGATAGTCTAATTTACAGTTCCGATTTGTTTTGCTCACTTCTTCAGGAAATCTCTTGAGAATACAGTGTCTGCAGGATCTCTTGCTTGTTTCCTAATTGATCCAACACTGGAAAGATGACTGAAAAAGAAAATTCCAGGCACTGAATCACAAGTTCCAAAAATGTATTCTCAGAACTATTAAAGAGTTGTTACATTCCAACTGCATTCCTTAATCATCAGTCTTTTGAAGTGTGTTCATGAAGAGTAGGAAGCCACACTCTTAGTTTAATCTCTCACAGGGTTGTTGTGAGGGTAATATGGGAATTGAAATCCTGTCTCCTGCCTGTTGTGATTGGTGGGATAAAAATGTCATGTTAATAAAGCAAAGGAGCCCTCTGGCTGGCCAGAATCTACAGCTATGTGCCTTTGTGATGGTTTCCCATTGAAGTATTAACCAGGAAAAACTCTGCTTAGCTTTGGACCTCAGTCAAGGCCAAGTTGTGAATAGTTCAGTCTATTGTAAGCCCTGGAGTCTCCTGGTGGTCTCCCATCCAAGCAGTAACCAGACCTGACTTGCTTCACTGTTTCCAAAATCAGCTAGCTGTTGTCACTGGCTGTGACGAGCCGGTTTCATCATACTGGAGCCACGCCCACCCCATTGCCGGCAATAGCGAAAAAGCTCCGATACGTTGCATGATGTCACATGATGTCGTGAGTTTGACATGTCTGCTATAGAGCCTTTTGGACAATTTTTACCCTGATTAAGCTAAAGCTCATTCTACCTAATAATATAAGTTCATTCATTTTCTAAAAATCACTCGGTAACTTTCCATGGCTTACTTATAAAGCATTCAACTAAAAATGGCCATTTTCAATACAAAAATTAACACAGACTTACGGTAATAATAACATACGGTATTTTTCCAGTTTGCTTCTTAATTGAAGGTCCCCCCCACCCATAAAATAAAAGAATGTTAGAATAAAAGCAACGAAGTAGCTTCATTTTCTCACCACACTAATTGTATTTTTGTTCTTATGGTAAACAAAGTCAGTGAGCCAATAAATATTGGAGGGTATTTTTTTTTGCAGAAATATGAAACCAATGTTGGGGCTCAGGGGTCTCTCCTGTCCCGAGGGCAAAAGCAGCGCATTGCCATTGCGCGCGCAATCGTTCGAGACCCTAAGATCTTATTACTGGATGAAGCAACTTCTGCACTGGATACAGAAAGTGAACAGGTAAACAGCAATGAATAAACAATAAACAGCATTTATTCATTAGATTTTTTTTAAAATGTCCACCTTTATAAGTAACTCAAGCTGGAGAACATATATAATATACTCCTTCCTCCTCTGTGAGGTGGGTGGGCTGAGAGGGACTGGCCCAAAGTCTGGATTTCATGCCTAAGGTGGGACTAGAACTCACCGTCTCCTGATTTCTAGGCTAGCACTTCTTCCATTCACCACTATACCAAACTGGCTCTAAAATAATGTTATGCTTTCAGATATCAGATAATTAAAAGAAAACATATTTGATGGAGCATTGAGAATATACATTAAATGCAATCACTTGGTGTTGAGTTCAAAAGGAACTTAGTCTCAAATAAGTGAATATAAAAGCTCAGCCTTAAAGGAGGGAAAGAAAGGATGTACTCAGTTCAGTGTTATTTGGAGGCCAGTGTGGGATATAACAATTTAAAAGGGCTATAAATTGTAACTGAGTCTGAATGCACCTGTGCAGTGGGTAAAGTATAGTACAATACACTCATTGTACAGAGTCACTGCTGGAAAGGTAGTTGAAGCAAAGTAAAAAAAGCACACATACCAACAGGGCCCTCTGCTGTTACAGATAGCGTTGAATTCGAGAAATTCCCCCAACTGCAAACTTAGGCTGCCTTCATACGACACACTGAATGGCCAATCACTTTTAGCCACCGTATAACTAGCTCACTTTCTGCGTAGCATAGTGAGAATTCAATGTGTGGAACCAACACAGCAGTATGTTAGGTGGCTTCTTCCAAATCCATCAGAGCTGGCTTTGCCCTTTGATGACAGTAGCAATAAATGATTGTCTACCTCTCTGGAAAAAAAAAATAGTACAGATGGGACCCTTGCAGGCTTCCACTACTGTAAAGAAGGCAAGTGCCAAAGGCCGTGTTTCCAGAGTCATATTGCAACTATATCGTGAAATTATTCAAGCATAACTTTTATTAGTTGCCTGGATGAAGACCTTATTGATGGATTTGCCCTTGGAATATATTGCAGTTTGTTGCATCTCTGCCAGGTTGCTCCATCTTAGCCATATTTTGATCCATCTGATGACACTTAAGTATCTCTGCTGTTACCCATATTCCCAAATATAATGGCCTCTGAATGCCTTTTAGTCTACCAAGAAGCTAAGGGGACTGTTGAGATCCAGGGAAGATTTGAGAAATGATAGGACAGCAGCTTACCACTCCATATCCTGTTTTCCCAACTTTTCTGAACTGCTGGGAGTATTACAGCTTTTAGGAGCAGAGTTCACTGATACTTGTCCCTGGCAACTTGCACACTGCATTCATGGAAGGGGACGCAGGTTTGCCATGCTTGTGAGTTACTGCTTAACCCCGCAGAGCCCAAAGATCCATGGAGATTGGAGTTGTGGACCATAGGAGCTCTTCTGTTCTCCTCCTCCTCTTTGAATTCACTGAATGTTTGAGGAGGGTTTTCGACACAACTAAATTTTGTTGATCAATGCCTTTCCCAAAACAAAGTGTCCTAAAGAGGCCAACTGGCTATGTTCGTATTAATATAACTTGTCATGATGACCCTGTAAAGAATCCTTCTTTTTCTCTTTCCCTCTTCTCCCTTCAGACTGTGCAGGCTGCCCTGGACAAAGCTCGAGAAGGCAGGACCTGCATCGTCATTGCGCACCGCTTGTCCACCATTCAGAATTCTGACATCATCGCTGTCATGTCTCAGGGAGTCATCATTGAGAAGGGCTCTCACCACCAACTGATGGCCCAGGAGGGGGCATACTATAAACTGGTCACCACTGGGGCACCCATTAGCTGAGCTTCTACCTTCCCTGTGGGGGTTGTGTTCACCTTCTTAAGGGATGTGCTAAAACCATTATGAACATATCAACCAGCCTTGTGTGGCAAAAGACGACGATGCACCTATGTTGGCAAAACCACTTTAACTGAGAAAGGGAAGCCCAGCTTTTGACTGAGGTCAGCTTTTGACTGAGCTGTTCTCTCAAACCACTGCAACTGTGGTTTTCTGAAGAAAATGGCAGCCATCTACTGCAGAAGGAAGATTATGCAGGAAGAGTGCTCAGAAACCTTTTCAATAATTAAGTGTCCATAGATTATTTTTATATCTATTTCTGTTGCTCCTGAATTGGCAATATTAAAAAAGCCTAATGAACTTCATTGTGGATCCAGAGGGAGGCTCCAATCAGCATTCAATGCAAATGGTTGCATTGAGCTTTATTGTCTACTGCCCCATCATCATCATCATCCTCTTCATCTTCATCATCATCATCATCATCTTCTTCTTCAATTTAACTTATATACTGCTTGACTCTCAGTGATTCTGGGTGGCTCATAACAATGAATGAAATCACAATGAAATCAATAAAAATGACAAAATTAAGATAAAAGATGGCAAGAGTGATGAAGTGAGGGATCTCACTCTCACTTGCCAAAGGCCTGGGTGAAAAGCCTGGTCTTCCCACCTTCTAAACAACAGTAGAGTTGGGGGGGGGCACCCATCTCTTGGGGAACCCTCATTTTAGAGGGCAGGTACTGCAACAGAGAAGGATGTATTCAGCATTATGATGGGGAAATACCAGACACAGATTCTTACATCCATAAAAAAGCAATATTGAAACCTGCCTCTGCGTATCTCTAGAGACTCCTTTATGTGTACAATGTCTTCTCTGTATAATGGTTCTCTATGCAGTGTTAAAAGCACTTTGGCCAGATTACAAAATACAATTATTCTATTCACTGCTAGTGAGACTATTAGCCATTGCAATTTCCCAAAGGGTCGTCATTTCTTTTGCACGAAAAAAAATGAGCTCTTTACAAAATAATACATTTATTAATGTGTATTCCTGTCCACTAACCCAGCACCTACAGTAAATCGACTGAATGCATCTGGCAGATGAGTGTCCCATTAAAGGATATTTGATAGAGAAGGCCTGATTACTATGCATAGGACAGAAACAAACAATAGCAGGAAAAGGAATAAAAACTCAGAGAATTAAACAGCAATGCAGTCCTACTACTTTTAACTTACACACAGCAATTCAGCAGGAGATTAAATCATGCTTGAGAAATAGTGTAAGCAGGTGGTAAAGGCTGTTATTAAATCAAGCAATTGTACTTTATTGAATCCTTTTATCTAAAGCAGCTGAATCTACTTTGTCAGTGGATTCCTAAGGGGCCTTTTGCAGCCTTGCTTTCTTACATCCTTCAACAGGAGATCCTTATGAATCAGACCAGAACCATTTACACAAAGAACTTTCATTCTACTGCTGGGAGCTCATTCTGTAGTGGTTGGAGCTTCTTTGTCAAAGTCCCCTTATCTCAAAGCAGAACGGGACCACTCACCATGGCTAACTTGCCATGGGACAACTCAATGCGGGTCAATTCAATTTATAATTATTTAAAATAATTTTAAAAATATTTTAATTTTTGTCATTCACATTTCATTTTGTTCCTTCTTTTGCATCCTTTCTTTAATGGTTCTGTGCCAGAGAGAGAGAGAGAGAGAGAGAGAGAGAAAAGCAGGGAAGACTAATTAAAGGCAAATACTCCTTGGAGGTGAGGAAGGTGGCTTGTTCATGGAATGCCTAAAAGTTAAACAATAAAATAAGCAGTGGCTCAAGCTATTGAAATCTAACATTCAGGAGATGTTGTGATATGAGGACAGAGAGGCAAAGACACAACCAAGGTCAAGGAAAGCATCTTTTTCAATTGACCATTTATCTAACTGGCTAATTTCGGTTTTGATTTAAACAGGCAATGTTACAGTTCCCACCTTTGTATCTTCCTCCAGCTATGAGCCTTTTAGCACCAAGTGCTGCTGTTTTTTGTTTGATTGTTCCTTGTAGAGCTGCCCTATGGATATTTTTGTCCCAAAGTCTTCCTGTTCCCCCTTTTGCTGCCCTGGCCAAATGACTAGATATTAGAGCAAAATGTCAGACCATGGTCATCCAATTGTTTGATGGAACTTTATTCTCCTGGTAACCAGTGTGTAAAGTGTATGTTTGTGTATATGTTTTTATGTCAGTGTTTGATTTCTGGCATCTGCCTGGACAACTCTCTGCAGTTTGCTTGGCAAGGTTTCACAAGTTGTTTGTCATTGCCTCCTTCCCAGAGCACAGAGGGAGGGACTGGCTCAAGATTACCTAGATGGTTTCATGTCTAAAGCAGGACTGGAACTCACGATCTCCCTGTTCCTAGCCTGGTGCCTTAACTACTACTCTAAACTAGCCCCCCTATAAAAGTATATTGCCTCTGAATCTGGTGCTTCAGTTTGCTATCAAATCTAACACTTGTTGCTTTTATCATAACAATCCCTTTGTTAAAGCCATTTAAGCCATTTAAATGACCATATCTTGGGGGCAAGAATCCTATAAATTACTAATGAAAGTTTTGACTGACTCTTTTGCTAAGTGTAATATGGTGAAAGTTAGTTTCTTCAGATCATTTATAACTTTAACAGCTCATTACCCAATTATGAATCTGTTCACATATGGAAGAGTAATTCAACATATTATCATTTTGGTTTCCTTATTCTGTACTCTGTTATGCTGTTGTTTTCCAGATAATGCTGAACCATCAAATTATGTTAATGCTTGATGATAATGGTTACTTTTCTGCATCATGCATCATGTTATTCCAGGGCACCTTCTTTTATTGTTCATTCATTCCCTTCGGAGCCCTGCATGGTCCCATTTATTTTGGTCATTTGTGCCATTTCTATTCTTGACCAGCTCATTGTTCTAGAGCAGCATTTCTCAACCTTGGCAACTTTAAGATGTGTGGACTTATTTGCATTTTAGTGACTAAGGCCATTCCTTAGGCAGAGCAAAACCAAGCTTCTCCAGCTTTTTTTGTAAAGTTTCTGAAGGCTAAGCCAATCTAAGCAAAGCAACGGTGCTAATCTTGAGCAGTTGTTACACCTGGATGATGTCTTTGAAACAAACATTAATTATAGGGATTATAATACATTAACATGTACTCCTTTAAACATTACTTGGCAATCTCCCAAATCTTAAAACCTGTGGGAATTATTTGTGTAGCCAAAAAAAAAGGGATATTAAAAACTAGAATCCCCTTGGGTGGCTATTAGCCATTTATAGAGAGAACCACTAATGGGGGAAAATAATTGGGATTGCAACTTGCATGAGTCAACAGCAGTTCCTCAATCCCTTGCTCCGAGTTAAAACTCTCCATGCATTGCAAATTAGGTTCACAAGGTGACATTCTGCCACTTGTAAAGTGGGTTGTTTCCTCCTTTGCTTCAGGCAGCGAAATAGCAGGGGCTGGTTTTGTCTCCCGCCCATTGAATGTTCTGCATCCCGTAGCTATCTTGTTTAAAAAGATGGGCTGATAATTTCAGCTATCCCTGCAAATCTACTTGCAGATGAATTAAATACAGAAAGATGGTAGGCACCATTGTTTCGGGTTGTTTGGCCTTTGTATTCCTTTAATATTGATTCAGCTGCATTCAGGAGCTGAACACTGCTAAACTATGGCATTCGAAATGTGAGGCTATTTAAGAAATATTTAATATATAAACTCCATTTCTATTTTCCATTGTACAGTGGGGAAAAGCCAGGGGAGAACAGTGAAACACAAGTAGGATTTTAAAAGGAAAAAAATAGCTGCAGAATATGGGCCATTAGAATAGGCCTGAAAAATCAGGAAGTGTAATTCTTAAAGAAGCAATTACTTTTGTTCACACAGTCAGAAAAATCTGAAGATTATGTTTATAGTCACAGCTGGGATAAATCACTTTGTTTTCCTACCAATATAGATGGCATCCATTTTTCAGCAGTCATAAAGTGGCTGCTGTATGTCATTTTTATTAATTCCACTTTGATGACAGTCATTTTTTTGGTAAAAACAAAATGCTTTTTTAAAATATATATATGTAGAAATCAACATTCTAAAAAATCTGAACTTAGCACAGCCCCATTCTATGTTATACGAGGTTTCCAAAAGATTCAGAAATTTGCTTTACTAGTTAAATAAAAGATGCACTTACTGATCATTCTCATCCATATCATTTTTGTCTCAGCCACTTAAGATGGGACCAGGAAGGAAATCTGAAACAGTTATTCCAAATCTTTTAATACCTGATAATAATTGTAGACAAGTCTTGTAAAGTATGCAGTCTTTCTGAAAATTCTAAATTATGATCACTCCATAGCCGACACAGATCCACCTGAAATGGATAAAAAAATTACTAAGATTGAGTACCTCAGATAAGTTCCATTTCCTTTGCTCTACTGAATTAGTAGAACTAAAAGCCTGAATCAGAAGTTCTTGAAACAACACTTTGTGCATTTATATCCTTGGTAACAGATTTATTGCAAAGGGCTTTTAAGTTTAAGAAATAAAGAGTGCATTTTCTTGTTGGTTGGTGATGTCACCAGATGAGAGGCAAGAGTCAAGGTGTCTTGCCCTTCTTTGCTGCCATCTACTGCTCGCTTAGAGCTTTGCAGCCAGATTTTTGCAGCCTGATTTTCACCCAAGATCCAATACTTCTAATTAATTAATTCTAATCTGGACTCTTCTAATTAATTTCACCTGCTGCTATAAAGGCTGGGAGAAATACATTAATAATTAATTGCTCCCAGCAGAAATCATTAAAGCTTTGCATTTTATTTCAAATTAAAAATTGCCAATGTGACCACATTCATCACTTAGTTCAACAATGCCTTTAAAGTGTGAGTGCCAACAGTAAGAATATATAAGCAGTAAATAAGAGATTTGAAGCTGGTGGTTCCCAGATATTATTTGCTTGGCACAAGACATTATTCCAAACATTTATTTGCCACTTCCCACTAAAAAAATGTTGCAGAAATTTAAAAAAGAAATAAATTCAAATAATGAAATCAGTAGGTTAAAATACTGGGAAAGAATAAAATGATTAAAATATTCTAGAAAATACATAAGCAATGAAATAAGAAAGAGTCCAGGATAATGTAAAAATGGCAATAACAACTGTTTATCAGTGTGTGAGTCACCCAGAGTCATATATATGAGATGGCAACTATATCAGCTGAATGAATGAATAAATACACTTTATCAAAAGCCAGGGGTGGAAAAAAAAAGGGTCTTTGCTTACTTCTAAGAAGATAATGAGGAGCATGTCTTTGTGAGGAGGACATTCCAAATCTGAGGGAATTCTACTGAAAAGGCTTGCTCTTGGCTAGCCATTTGCTCAGTATGAGAGGATAAATGGAACAGCCTGAATACACTGTATGATTCTTCTAATCAAGGCTTGCTCATACACGGTCATACAGAAAAGAGCTGGAAGGGATCTTGGAGGTCTTCCAGTCAAACCCGCTGCTCAAGCAGGAGACCCTATACCATTTCAGACAAGTGGTTGTCCAGTCTCTTCTTAAAAGCCTCCAGTGATGAAGCACCCACAACTTCTGAAGACAAGCTGTTCCACTGGTTAATTGTTCACAGGAACTACAGAGATGAATCATAGAGTAACAATGTGACACAGGAAACAAATACAATAGAGATGAATGATAAAACTGCATATAAGGTAAACATAACACCTGTAACAATTAATTTCCATCCATTGTTTCTTGTCCTGCCTTCAGGTGCTTTGGAAAATAGATTGACCCCTCTTCTTTATGGCAGTCCCTCAAATATTGGCACACTGCTATCATGTCACCCTAGTCCTTCTTTTCTCTAGACCAGTGGTTCTCAACCTGTGGGTCGGGACCCCATTTGGGGTCGAACGACCATTTCACAGGGGTTGCCAAACAATGCAGTCTGCCATTTTTTTCCCCCTTTTCCTTAGCTGTGCTACTCCCTTTTATTCTATTGGCTTTTGAAAGCCAATAGAATAGACTCTCTTGAATAGAGTCTAATTCTATTGGCTTTCAAAAGCCAATAGGAATTGTCCAGGCTGTCTCTGCCCTGCTGAGCCCGCCAAAAGTCCCATTCTGCAAACGGTGCTGCACCAGTTGAGTAGTCCTCGACTTACGACCGGTTGAGTAGTCCTCGACTTACGACCGGTTGGGGGTCGCGGCATTAAAAAGGTTGAGAACCACTGCTCTAGACTAGCTATACCCAATTCCTGCAACTGTTGTTCATATGTTTAAGTCTCTAGGTCCTTAATCATCTTAGTTGCTCTTTTCTGCACTTTTCCAAAGTCTCGACATTTTTTTTTATAATGTGATGACCCAAACTGGATGCTAATCAAGTTTTGATTGTTCCCTCTCTTCTTCGGGGCCTAATGCAGTGTTTCTCAAGCTTAGCAACTTCAAGATAAATGAATGTCAACTTCCAGAATTCTGACAGTTGAAGTCCGCCTATCTTTAAACTGCTATGGTTGAGAAAGATTGGCCTGGAGCAGGGGTGTCAAACTCGTGACATCATGTGATGTGTTACGACGTATCGTGACTTTTTTTCCATTGCCAGCAATGGGGTGGGTGCGGTTTTGCCATGACACATCTGGCCCACGGGCTGGCAGTTTGACATCCCTGGCCTCTGTTCTCACAGAGGCTTTTCTGCAATGTTGTGGTGTGAGAGGCAAAAAACATAAGTTTTGGTGGGTTCATTTCTTTGCTATCGTTAATTACTGAGCTCACACAAAGTGATAAGCCTGTTTGGTAATCAACTAGGTTCACTCCTCCTTGGCTCCGCTTGCAAGCAGAAGTGGCTACAGAAACCAGGAATTTGTAGCCATGGAGAGCATTAGGTCTGGTTTGTCTCTTGCTTGGCAAGCTGAGATTTGGAATTCTTGGCTTAAAAATCTTGTTAGAGGGAATGAAATGCCAAGAGGTTTTCCTCATGATATCACAGTTGAGATCTTTGTTCCTGGAAACACTTGCACTTATAGGCCCATTTAGGAAAGCCCATTTACTCACAATTGAAATGCCAAGCAGCTCAAAAATCTAGAGTTATTCCCTAGTGCAAATGCAGCTATTATTAGACAAAAAAAGAGATAGAATAAGTGTATTTTCTATTATTTTCATGTAAGTATATCCCTAACATCTTGCAGAATACAAGAATTATATATTTTTATTAAAAAAAATTATATAAGACAAGAGCATGAAGGAAAAGAAGAATTTGAACAATAACCAAAAAACAGCAATAGTCCTTAAGAAGATAGTCCTCCTTTGGGCTCTGAATTCAGAATGTCCTTTTGTTGGCATTAATTTGTTTTTTTTTTTCAGGGCCAATTACAACTACCTCTATTTTTCTAGGTCCCTTAGAGAGAGTTTTGAATTGCTGAAATGAAGTTTAATTTGCAATACACAGTTTCGTTTTTACTTGCTTGCTTTATGTTTGTTCACCTATTTAACTTTTACAATTATTGTTTTGCTTCTTTAACTTTACAAACGCAGATTGCTCTGGAATTGCATTTGACAAAGAAACAGTGGAGAAATATTTATAATATGAGTGACAGTGGAGATGAAAAGTGGTTGATGGTAACAACACAGATAATTGTTTAATAGGAGCATAGAAAGCTACGTAAAGCACTTTTTTCATAAATAACCTCCTTTATTGCTTCTCTGCTTTTAAAGAGATAAATGGGTTGAAGATTTTGCACACATTCAGCTTTAGCCTGTATACTATTCTTAGTGTTCAGGGTTTAAAAAGGGTTTCTGTTACCTAATTAAGAATATCCTGGTTACTACAGTTGTCTCTTTCTTCCATGCTTCTCTAGATCTATTGTTCATTGGTTATTTCTATGGTATTTTATGACACAGAGTTATATTTTAGTTTATTCATTCAGGAAATAAGTGACCTGAAATATTCAGCAATTGTTTTAAAAGCAACTAAAACTAGTTGGATAATATTTTCTTAATATACAGGGAGTAAAATGCTTTTAAGGAAACCATTTACTGTCCTAATTTGCTTAAAGTATTTGCTATTTTACTTGCTAGGTTTCAATTCCATTTTCAAAACCCTCAAAAGGGATTATATGTTTGCTGATTTTAAATATATATTTTAATTATTAAATATATTTTTAAATTATAATTTTATATATATATATATATATATATATATATATATATATATATATATATATATATATATATATATGCTGATTTTAAAAGTTCCACCAGATGGCAGCACCTTGATTGATCCCCAAAACATAGGCAGGGTGGCATCTGATTCTCTCTTTGAGATGCTTGGGTCTGGGATCCTGCCCAGTGCATTGAGACAGGCATCACCTTGACTAACTCACATCAGCAGCACTCCATCTGCAGCTTTCAGAACTGATTAAATCCCCATTATGCCTATTAGCTTAATGTAACCCACCTTGTCAAATCAGCATAAACCTCAAAGTGATTTTTCAACCCACCTCACAGGGTTGTTGTTTGGAGAAAATAAGAGGAGGAAGGTGTGTTGATGTGTTTGCCTCCTCGAGTTATTTGTAAAAATAATAAAGATAGAATGCAAGTAAGTAAAAAACAAAAACAAATAAATGATGCATAGTTGTTTGCAGACAAAACAAGCCCATGTTTTTGCAGATCTGTCTCCTGCAGAATGCAGGAATCAAGCCCTGTGAGGCCTGTCAAGGAAATCAGGGGATCCAGGCAATTCAAATGAACATAAAGGTTTATTGTAAACTTAAGCTGTCTACAAGAATCTGAACTACTATCTGAACAGTCCAGGCAAATTGGTGGTAAAAAAAAGAGTCAATGGAATTCAAAATGGTCAACCTGGTCATCTCCTACAATGAACCTATTGGCCCCAAGATTTAAATCAAGACTTTTCCTCCCATCCTTTCAACTCCATGGCTTTCTGGGTGTTCTTGTCCCAACCTCAAATACACTCACACCATATTTACACAGTCCTGTAGACAGTCTAAACAATGTTGGTTCCCCTCTTGTCAGTTTTCAGCCCACACACACACACACACACACATACACACACAATGCAAGAGCAAAATAACTTGATAGTGCAGGCTGAAAAATGTAGAATTCTGTTTCTAACCTAAGACGTTCTTTTTGATGTTCAGTATTGCCCATCCATTGACACTGACTTGCTGGCCAGCAAATCCCACCTGTA